CACTCTTAAAATGGATGTGTTAAAAAACAACACAACCTGTGTTATATCTTAACACACCTGTGTGTCTAGTTAAGGACAACACATTTTGTGTTACTTTTAACTCAACCAGTGTGTTGTTCTTAACACAGGGAGTGTGATTTCACTAAGTTTGCACTTTGAATTAGATTAAAATGTAGCAACTGACAAAATATTGTGTGTAAATAAGTTTTATTTACACTGGTGCACTCTTATAAAATGATTTAGTAAATAACACAACCTGTAAAAAGAGAGATGTCAAAAATGACACATGCTGTGTAGATTTTAACACATAAAGTGTGTGTGCTTAGGGACAACACATTTTGTGTAGATTTTAACACATGCTGTGTAGATTTTTAGCACATGTAGTGTGTGTGCTCAGGGACAACACATTTTGTGTAGATTTTAACACATGTTGTGTAGATTTTAACCCGTTTTGTAGATTTTAACACATGTAGTGTGTTTGCTCAAGGACAACACATGTTGTGTCAAATTTAACACACAACCTGTGTCGTTTCTTTACACATCTCTGTGTTTATAAGGATTACACATTTTGTGTTACATTTAACACACAACTAATGTGTTAGACAGCAGCAGTGTGTTGTTGAAACCTTTTACACACTAATGTGTTATAGTAACACAACTTGTGTCAGATATGCGTCACATGTGACTGTAGTCGGAGAGTATTTGCCAGAGTTACTCCCGTGTGCTTACAAAAAGTGTTTGGATGAACACTGACACGTATTGGTAACTTGTGTTTATGTAGTCCAGTGATGTTTAATAGAGTTTGTTTGAACATTTGGATGTTTTAAACATCATTAATCTACATAGACAAGCTCTTATTGAGAATTAACAGAGGTTTGATGTTTCATTTCAGTTTTATTTCAAGTCACCAGAATCGTGATTAATGGCTCCTTTATTTGGGCTCTTGACCCTTTACTGTTGTTTTAGTGTTTCTCTGCCTGCTGTAACTGTATTTTAATAAAATACATCTGTTATGGTGACAGAAAATATGATCAGAAGGTTCTTGAAGATGTCATAATCAGCAAGTTATGATCAAGTTTTTGAGTATATGGATGGTGTGCTTTATTTTAATGATTTATTGTTAGTTCTAAAGATTTTGTGAAACTACATCCAGCTATCCAAAAGTGCAGAATAACAAAAAAAGTTTAAAACTACAGCAGAAACCAGTCAAATACAGATATCAAGAATCAGCGTATGGATCTCAATAATGGTGACAAACGAAAAATTCCATGCCGCAATGCATGCTGGGACTTATAGATGAGCTTCATACTAGAGACATGAAGCTTTGCCACCATTGTTGAGAGTCATATGCTGATTCTTGATGTCTGTTTTTGACTTGTTTCTGCTGCAGCTTTTAAACTTTCTCTAAACATATATTTTTAAAAAAATAAAAATTTTTTTTAATTTTTTTTATAAAATATACTACCTCTAATTAGGTTCATAAACACAAACTTCCCTCCACCCATTAAAATTCTATCCAGTTACATTTTAACACACATTGTGTGTTAAAACTACACAACTTGTGTCAAAATACCATCAACACATGATGTGTGTTGTTTTTTAACACATCTCTTTTTAGAGTGTACCGACACACCAGTGCGGATACAAATCCACCTACTCCAGTAATATACAGTGCTTAATTAAACCACAAAAACATAAGGTTTTGATGTTGAAAAAGTCAATAGCTCCTTACCAAAGCCAGCATCTATGGGCACGACCCAATCACCAGGTCGGAGAGATGTGACATCACTGCCCACCTCCAGCACCTCTCCCACGCCCTCATTCCCCCCCACCGCCGGGACTGGGACCAAGATTGGGTACGAACCTTCAGAATGGACACACGTAACCCGTTATAGTCAGTTCACCACGTTCAGTCTTCAAAGCAAGATTAGAATATAATATCAATCCATTATCTGATGGTAAACAGCACTGGAGAGAACGGCTATCAGAGCAGACATGAAGACTTTACCCTGGATCATGTTCACGTCTGCAGGATTGACCGGAGCTGCGAGCATGCGGATTCTCACGGACCCGTCTTTCAGCGGAGGCAACGGCAGCTCCTCCATCCTGAAGACAAACGACCGGTCACAAGTGTCCCGCAGTTAACCCAACGCTCACCAGACAGCACAACATATACAGTCTACGCTGCAATACACCAATATTTCAAGTGTTTCCAGAGTTTTTTTGGGGGGGAAAATGGAAAAATGGAAAATGGAAAAATCTGGCAAACATGGCCCAGATCTGGGCCGACACTATGTTGCTTTCTGGATCTGAATTCTTCAATATTCTCTAATGTAATCTCAAAAGAAACACCACCAACAACAAAAAAACAACCATTTGTTTCAGATGCCGGACAATGCCAATCATGATTGTCAAGCTCTACCTGTCCATTCATTTGGCATCCATTAGTTTAAATGTCACCGCCTGTTAGAATAGAATAGAATATACTTTATTGTCCCCTAGGGGAAATTTGTCATGGACTCAAAGTGCGTGGTGCAAAGTAGTAGCTGCCATTACAAACAATAATACACATAGTAAAACAAATACCAGCTAAAGACGTACATGTAAACTACAAACACACTCATGACACATCTAACAACAAAAATAAATAAATAAATAAAAAATAAATAAATAAATAAATAACATACAATATTAAAACAACAAGCAGAACACCAAGTTACTGCACACTTCTCATTCCTCCTCGTACAAATCTAAAAATTTTGATTAAAAATTTTGACGGAGTTGGGTATAAAAGAGTATTTGTACGGTTCAATTTGGTTTTTGGAATTCTAAACCTCTGTTATTCTGTTATTCATTCATCACATCTAAAAGTCACACTTACATTATCTGCAGTACGACATTAGCGCGACGGCAGCACAGTGTCGGCCCAGATCTGGTACAGATCATGAGGAATCCAACAGTCCCAGATGTGGTCCGACACTATGTTACTGTATGGGAATCCACTGCTATGATGAACGAATACGAGTGGATAAAGAGACAGCTATGCCCGTACCTCAGAGTATCGGTGTTATGCGAGTGCTCTCTGTAAACTACAGCCGAGCAGTGGTGAGTCTCTCTCCGCACGGGACAGCATCTCTGACGGACTCTCCGCAGGACCGTCCCGCCATAGGCAGCTCTGAGCAGACTTCTGATGAGCATGACTCCTTCCCCTTCTCTAACTGGGAGTTTAAAGGCTGCCGACATTATGTACACTGGTGAAAAAATGTGCACTTCCTTTTAATACTTCTGCTTTCACTCTTTCGAACAGGAAACCACACTTAGTTAACTGATTTTTTTTAATGAAGGCAGTTTTTTTCTCTTCATGCATTTGCGTAGAGGCGCCATTAGCGCCCACCACTCATTAGCCTACAGCCGCGCAATTTGGACCCTACAAGTGACATTTTTTATACGACAGCAAAACTAGGCCTAATAAGACTTAACTATATAGTCTGAATATAAAGTCAAAGTGTTATTAAAGGAGAGTAATAAAATAAGAAATGAATAAACATAATTACAAGCAATGGCCAAAAGCTAATTTAATAGAACAAATATGAAACAGATTGAATTGTTAAATTAATATGAAACAGAGGATTTTTGGTGTTATAAATATTGTTTATTCTGAGGCAATTTTCTCATCATTGCTCTATCAGCTTTTACATAGGCTACTTAAAATCTGCATATTTGTGATAATTACCCCCAAGGCGTAATTTGCCTTTATAAAGGCCAATTTTTTAAACGTATTAAATGTATGCATCATCTTTCAGGTCAGATTCTTACATTTAGATTGTGTCAGTCAACTAGTTCAACGGCGAGAGTGATCGTCACGTGCGGGTGACGTCACGACCAAGAAAGGATAAAAGCACCGGCGTCAGCTTCGGATTAGCCGAAGCAAGTCGATCACAGGGAGGGAGTATGCCAAAGTGACGCAGTGTCTCGTTCCCTTCTCAGAGAACTAGGGTTACAGTCGTAATCTGTGTCTTTGTCATGACAACTTGACATTACTAAGACAACACAACCTGTCATAAACATGACATAGCAGATTAATGATCACACTTAAGAAACCACTTAGCTTTATGAGTAACGTTGCATTAAAAATGTCATAACTCAGCAAATGACACTTAATGACAGTTGTCACAAACATGCATAAACCTCCTTCATATTCATAACATATGTCATGATTATGAATGTGTCATGTCAGTCTTATGCACACCCCTTCAAGTAAAGTGTTAACAAAATATGTTATTCTTGCGTTAAAGATATGCAAAATATACTTATAATTATGTGATCAGTCTTTACATATTCGATTGCCTGAAGGCAGGATTTTGAGTTAGAGAAGATTAAGAAATTTCATTATTGTCCAATATTTTCCACAGTTAGACTTTGATACCTGGTCCTGGGATTCGCAAGCCGTGACACTGACCTCCAGTCATCGCTGCTGCCGATACACACTCATCTGCTTTGGATATACACTCAAAAAAAGAAATTGTTGAATGAACGTGATTTAATCAAATAAATTGTTGAATGAACGTGATTTAAACGTAGCACCCATTATGCATCTAATCAAATCAAGTAAACTTGAACTACTTTGAATATTTTATGTGAACACAATATACATTTGTAGATTCAACATGATTGTAATATGTTAAAGTAACTTCTTCACAACTAATTGAATCGAAATGTTTGTATTGTGTTAGTCTAATCAAATTTATTCCACTCAATGTCAGTAAAGCACTTCAATTCAACAAGATTCTGCCTTGTTACATAAACTAGTTAATGTCTTGGTTTGGTAGTTGATTGAGCATTAATGAAGACACCTGATGTTAACAAGCAGAGTCACTGAAGGAGAAAACCATCATTTTTAAGTCACCGTTACAACAACAATTTCTTTTTTTTGAGTGTAGAGTCCATGGAGAGAAAAACTGCATCCATCAAAATTTCTGCCGATATTCATGAGGGTGTGTTTATTCAGGGTTATTAAAACATTTGGCCTTTTCAGATCCCAGGGAGGAATAGTGCAAAAAGAGTGTGAGTGAAGATGTCCACGAGATCTAATAAACCCACGTCTGGCTTCTTTAAATAAAGGGGGAAAGACTAGTTAGTTTGCCAGCACGTTGTAAAGCCAGTGTCAGACGCCTGTTCTGGAGTCAGGGTTCTCCGTCGGGCAGAAATGAAAAGCATCTATTGCTCAATATAATGATTTCGACACAATGGATGGAAACACACAGCAGTGCACTCAGAGGGGATATTTCTTTATTTTGAAATACTGATCATTACACAGTACATGTAATCACTCCATGCAAAAACGCACACACACACACCATCCCTTCCCATGAGTGTGTGGTTCACGTCCGTCCATTGGCGATTCCTCAAGTGTAGTTTGATATTTTGGGCTAGATTCACACCGAGGTCACATTGAAATATGATGTTCAGTTTGACCTGGCCTACTTTCTTATATCTGACTTTTCCCCAGACAGCACCCTAGTGTCGGCCCAGATCCGGCCCACGTCTGGGACACGTGGACTCCACATGTGGGCCGACACTATGCTTCTGTCCGGGTCGTTTTGATATTTCGGAGCGGAACTCATTGTGAACAGGCTGTAATTGTGTAGATGATTAAGTTACTGAACTATGATTGTGTCCCGATTCCTCAAGTCACTCGCTCTTCAACAGCTTTGCGGAGGCTTTGGATGTCAAGATCTTGATGTTTTACCACAGGTTCTTCACATCACTGTTTTGGTTTCAGGTCTTTAACGCACAGATACACAAGTTACAAACTACAGCATGAAAAGTTGGTACTCTTAACAATGAGGTTCCCTTTGTTAACATTAATTTCAACTCGTTATTAAATAGCTGCATCTATTAATGTTTTTAATGGACTTGAGCTAAAATGAACTAACGTTGAATCATTTTATTTTTATTAAATAACATGAACAAAGATTAATACATGGTGTAATACAAATGTATTGCTCATTGTTAGTTCATGTAAATGCATGAACTAAAGTTAACTAATGGGACCTTACTGTCAAGGAAAAAGCTTTATAAATGGTTCCCCAATGACATGAGACTGGTTTGAACTGGTTTTCTACAGTCTTTGATTTGTCCAGCTGTTTGTTTTTCGTGTTAATATTCCTTTTGGCTATTGACCCAGACTGTGATTGGTTAAAGGTGTGTGTGTGCATGTGTGTGTGTGTGTTTAACTGGCAGGGCAGGTGAGCGGTTGGACTCCTCTGAGCTCCAGGACTTTGTTCATTTGAACCTCCAGAGTCTTCCCAGCTTTGGTGATCTTCACACTCCTCATGCAGCCTTTAAACGGTGTGTTTACAGTGAGTCCAAACTGCTTCAGGCCCTCTGCAACAAACACACACACACCAGTTCGCTCATTTATTCAAGTATGTGAACGTTTCTGTCCGCTAAGATGATTTAAACACCAGTTAAATGTATACAAACTGAAACTGGTCTGTTCCTAATTTTTAAACTTCTGTATTTTGGGATTTTTCCAGCTAACTCCTCCTTTATAATACCTTGCAAAAAGAGTTACAATTTCACTTGTCCTGAAGAGGCTTTCAAATCATATTAGTATTTGTAATTTTTTCATAACAATGTTTAAATAAACAACTGTTCTCAGGACTGCTGTCATGACATGAGGTTTTTCAACAGAACTGTGTTCCTTGGGTGTGAAGGTGTAAAGGAGAACGAGCAACAAAATGATGGGTTGGAGAGTGTCATTATTGACATTGTTCAATAGTCTTCTCTACTGACTGTCTTCGCCACATCTAATGTAACTCTGCTGCTGTTCAGGGTCAGGGACTATTTTTTTCCAGCGAAAGGAAGGCTTTTAGTGATTTTACTTCATTGATACATATTTTTTGGCTTTAATATTTGTATTGTGTGGTAACTGTTTTATAAAAGCAATAAGGTACTCGAGACTAGTGGTGTATCGTGATATTAACAATGCCTTTCAGCCGTGACTTGTTCACGATACAGCACAGCCTCCCGTACCTTATAGAGAGCCTAAGTCCCGCCCCTCCGCTTCCGGCTCATGGGATCTTATTTCGGAAAAATATGTATGGTAGTCAATGGCGAGAGACAACTTATCTTTTATTCCGTCTAAACTGTGCCCTGAATTTCACATATGATGTCTGTCAATTTAAAAGATAATTCTGAAAGTCAAGAAAGTCGCAGTTTATCATAAAACAGAAGAGTAACATTTAGTTTTATGTGAAAATCGCTCAATGGACTACATCTCTCGGGAAGGGAAACATCGAGCGAGATCCGCTGCATGTGTGTGTGCAGTCTGGTACAAAACACTCAGGCATGACGGTGTGACGTTACGATTCTAACGTAAGACTGTAGAAACAATGATAGAAGTTAGCTTCAGTAAAGTTAGCTTCTGTTAGCTTCATTAAAGTTAGCTGCTGTAAATTTAGCTTCAGTAAAGTTTACTTCTGTTAGTTTCAGTAAAGTTAGCCTCAGTAAAGTTAGCTTCAGTAAAGTTAGCTTCAATAAAGTTAGCTTCTGTTAGCTTAAGTAAAGTTAGCTTCAATAAAGTTAGCTTCTGTTATCTTCAGTAAATTTAGCTTCAGTAAAGTTAACTTCAGTAAAGTGAGATTCAGTAAAGTTTACTTCTGTTAGCTTCAGTAAAGTTAGCTTCAGTAAAGTTTACTTCTGTTAGCTTCAATAAAGTTAGCCACAGTAAAGTTAGCTTCAGTAAAGTTAGCTTCAATAAAGTTAGCTTCTGTTAGCTTAAGTAAAGTTAGCTTCAATAAAGTTAGCTTCTGTTATCTTCAGTAAATTTAGCTTCAGTAAAGTTAACTTCAGTAAAGTGAGCTTCTGTAAAGTGAGCTTCTGTAAATTTAGCTTCAGTAAAGTTAGCTTCAGTAAAATTTGCTTATGTTAGCTTCAGTAAAGTGTGCTTCTGTTAGCTTCAGTAAAGTTTGCTTCTGTTAGCTTCAGTAAAGTGAGCTTCAGTAAAGTGTGCTTCTGTTAGCTTCAGTAAAGTGAGCTTCAGTAAAGTGAGCTTCTGTTAGCTTTAGTAAAGTTTGCTTCCGTTAGCTTCAGTAAAGTTAGCTTCAGTAAAATGAGCTTCAGTAAAGTGAGCTTCTGTTAGCTTTAGTAAAATTTGCTTCTGTTACCTTTAGTAAAGTTAGCTTCAGTAAAGTGAGCTTCAGTAAAGTGAGCTTCAGTAAAGTTAGCTTCTGTTAGCTTCAGTAAAATTTGCTTATGTTAGCTTCAGTAAAGTTAGCTTCAGTAAAGTTAGCTTCAGTAAAGTGAGCTTCAGTAAAGTTAACTTCAGTAAAGTGAGCTTCTGTTAGCTTCAGTAAAGTTAGATTCTGTAAAGTTAGCTTCAGTAATGTTAGCTCCAGTAAAGTTAGCTTCAGTAAAGTTAGCTTCAGTAAAGTTAGCTTCAGTAAAGTTAGCTTCAGTAAAGTAATGTTAGCTCCAGTAAAGTTAGCTTCAGTAAAGTTAGCTTCAGTAAAGTTAGCTTCAGTAAAGTGAGCTTCTGTTAGCTTCTGTAAAGTTAGCTTCAGTAAAGTTAGCCTCTGTAAAGTTAGCTTAAGTAAAGTTAGCTTCGGTAAAGTTTGCTTCCGTAAAGTTAGCTTTAGTAAAGTTAGCTTCATTCATTGAGAGAAAATGTGCTCCTTTGGGGTTTGTAGTCTTTGTAATTATGTATTTTCACAGTCTTATACCTCAACAGTTTTACATCAAACTGCAACTTTCTTGATTGTAAAATGTATCTTTTAAATTGACAAACGTCATATGTGTAAATCAGGGCATAATTCAAACGAGATCAAGATATTTGTTGTCTCTCACCATTGATTACCATACAATATTTATCTGAAATAAGTTGACGGACAGAGTTGACGTACCGGGGTATCCGCCCACATACACAGGGTCATTGGTGTCGGCGGAGGCGGAGCGCACGTCTGGACTCGCCGCCTCGGACCGCCTGCCGTCCACCACGAGCTCCAGCCGGTGCTTCAGCTTGTGGGCGGAGACACTGTGCCACTGTCCGTCACAGAGCCCCGCCTCCTGCCCCGGCTCGTGCACAGCGGTGAAGCGGCCCTCTCCGTTATCAGCGTGGAAGAACAGCTGCACAGACACTCGCATTAACAAACCGCTCAGAAATAAACAACTGAACACAAAAGGACAATCTAGATGACCTTTCCATTGACGAGCTCGATGCCCAGTCCGTCCATCTTCTGGCTGCTGACGCCCAACAGGACGCCGGTGCCCTGCGCCGTCCTGAACTCCAGATCCACCGACACCTCGTAACCCACTCGATACGCGCTCACTGTACGCACACACAACCAGCACTCTTACGGTTGGCAATACAAAATCCAAACACATTTGAGGTCAGGAATCAGATACTTGTTATACAATTTTAATTTTGATTCCTCTTATTTCAAGCATTTCAATGTGATTTTAAGCCATTCAAGCGTGAAACGACTCGTGCGCTGTTTGCAGTAGCTGCGTTTCCATTAACCTTCAATTTGCGCGAATTGAAATTGCGAAATGAAAATACGCTCAATGGAAACACGTAAATTTCGCAAAAACTCACGTTTATCGCAAAAAAGTTTTTACGCTCGCATGAGGAGGTTTTTCAGGCAATTTGAAAAAGGATTTTTCCGCAAAACTGCAATGGAAACAGATTTTGCGCATTTACAGTCACCTGACTTAGAAGACGGAGTGTGTTTTAGGTCCGTGTTCGCAAATAATAATAATTATCATCATTAGCCTATTATAACATTTATTAGGCTACATATGTAGAAGACGCTTTTATCCAAAAATCACACGTGTAACAGTATATTGAATCAGTGCGACTCTTAAAGTGACAGCAGCCTAATATCCATGCTGCTGTCTCTATAATAACACTAATCAATGTAATGTATATTTTATTTATAAATATCTGAATACCTGAACATCTGAAAAAACAGATTATTTAATCGTACCTTTGTACAGTTCGATCTATTTGTTGCGAATGCTACTTTTTAATGCTAATTTGAGTGTTTATTGTCTTTAATGCTTGAAATCTCTATTAGTTAAGCTAGTTTCAGTTTTTCTATGGTATTTTTCAAAGTGCTCTTTTTTTTGTTCATGATATTCATCTATAATTAAATAAATGTTTTAACAATAAGACTAAATGTGAATGAAATGTAATTTTTTTGTGTGTGTGCGTGAGTCTTACTGGAATTGAAATCGATAAGCAGAACCGAAATAGGAATCGGAGTTGTTCAAATTCAATCGATACCCAACCCCACTCACACTTCCACATGTGCTCCAGTACGTTTTTTTAAATGACTGGCTGTAGAGGAGTGAAATATTGAGCCTCACCAGCTTTGGCGTAACCTGTGCCATCAAAATAAGTTCCTTTCTCTGGGTTTGCGAAACAGGATCCCACACGATAGCTGGATGTGGGCGTCCCCATGTCCAAGGCCTGACCCATCATCCTGAAGTTCCTGATGCAAGCGTCGATACTGTACAGCACCTGCAGAAGCACAGGTGCATGTGTGTGTTACAATGACGTAAGCAGGGTCATGTAGCCTTCAGTGGCCACAAAAGGTGTCTGACTCTTATGAATGTGTTTTTGACGCGTCACACTCACAGGCCCGATGCGTTTGGTGGTGTAGTTGAGCGGTAAGCCGCCCACATACAACATTCCCACCACATCCAGAATATCGGCTTTCTTGGGGCTGGTGGTGTGTTTGGAGTAGAGGCCGTCGATCGTGAGGATCCCTCTCTGCTTCTCTCTCGTCACGCGGATCTACACACAAAGAGGACACACACACACACGTTCAAATGTTTGGGGTCTTGAGATGTTTTTTATGTTTCTAAAGAGTCTCTTCTGCTCACCAAGGCTGCATTTATTTAATCAAAAATAAAAACAAAAGTAAAAACAGTGAAATATTAATACAATTTTAAAAAAGCTGTTCTCTATGTGAATATAGTAACGTGTAATTCATCGCTCCAGGCTTCAGTGTCACATGATCCTTCAGAAATCACTCTAAAATGAGTATCTGATGATCAAGAAACGTTTCTGATTATTATCAGTGTTGAAAACAGTTGTGCTGCTTCATATTTCAGTGGGAACCGTCATACGTGTTATTATTATTCAGGATTCTTTGATGAATTATTTAATTGAAATAAAAATCGTATGTCACATTATAAATGTCCCTTTTGATCAATTGAATGCATCTTTGCTGGATAAAAGTATCAATTCATAAAATCTTAAAGGGTTAGTTCACCCAAAAATGAAAATTCTGTCAGTATTTACTCACTCTCATGTTGTTCAACCCCGTAAGACCTTCGTTCATCTTCGGAACACAAATTAAGATATTTAAGATATTAAGATCGCTCCTGCATACAGTCCATAGGCTTCTTGAGGAAATGACACTTGATGGCATTGAAAAGTCATTAAAGACATCGTTAAAATAGTCCAAGTGACTACAGGGGCTCAATTTTAAGTTTATCAAACGACGAGAACACTTTTTGTGCGCAAAAAAACAACAAAAATAACGACTTTATTTCAACTATTCACTTCCTTCTCCATGAGCCTGTAGTCAGTTAACGTAGTGTGATTGCGTAGAGCTACGTCACACGTAGGCTCACTATTGGCCGACGCTGGTCACATGTGTGATGCGTGTGACGTACAATAACAGAAGCTTACGCTATTAAACTAGTAACCTGACTCGCGCAGAGGGAGAAATAAACGAATAGTTGAAATAAAGTCGTTATTTTGGTTGTTTTTTGCGCACAAAAGTGTTCTCGTCGTTTGATAAACTTAAGATTGAGCCCCTGTAGTCACTTGGACTATTTTAACGATGTCTTTAATGACTTTTCGAGGCCATCAATTGTCATTCCCTCAAGAAGCCTATGGACTGTATGCAGGAGCGATCTTAATATCTTAAATATCTTAATTTGTGTTCCGAAGATGAACGAAGGTCTTACGGGGTTGGAACAACATGAGGGTGAGTAAATACTGACAGAATTTTCATTTTTGGGTGAACAAACCTCCTTTAAATGCAGTGTTCTGGCTAAATATAATTGCATAAAGTATGTTTCTGTCCTAACACGACGCATGAATCTCCTCTACCTTCACAGAACATCAGGCAAAAGCTTTCCTCTCAGTGTCATGCATTAGGGGTCAAAGGTCAAAAGCCCTGACCTTGTGCCACTGGCCGTCGTTGATGATGCGTGGCACGCTGACGGAGGTGTTTCCGCTGCCCAGGTCGAAGCTCAGGTGAGCCATGCCCTCCTTCAGCTGTACGGTGGCGAAGTCAGCGTGGTTAATCCTGGCCATGTAGAACACCAGACCAGAGTCCGCCTCGGTGCGCACCTCGAACTCCATCAACAGCCTGACACACACACACACACACATGAGGAGGAGGAGGATGAAGATGAGGAGGAGAAGGAGGAGAACTCACTCACCTGTTCTTAACCTTTCTGTCGTCAAACTCAAAGGCCATGTGACTGTTTCTGGACAGACCAAACTGTTTGGCCAGTTCCAGGACGACAGGCTCCGCCTCTGCTGCACACGACACCTGTGATTGGACAGAGCACATGTCAATCAAACATTCCAAAACAGTTCTGAAACACCAAGACGGCAAAAACACGACGGCGTCAGTGTTACAGTGTTATTATAGTACTTTTAATACATAGATATGTATATAAAGGCTAGATATCTCGTCCGCGCTGCTGGCCAATGGAGGTCGACGTCAGCACCTGGCGGCCATCTTGTCACAGGCAGCTCACTCACTGGTAACATTGTTTTAATGGTACATGTACTTTTTAAATCACCGTAACTTGCTCAATTTTCTACCGATTTTCAAACGGTCTGGTTTGTTATAAACGGCAGAGATGTAGTTATGATTCTGCATACTTATGAATAATAAGTGTATAAATAAATAATCACCCAGATAATTATAGCCACGTTAATAACGTTTGTAAGAAACCAAACCGTTTGTAAATCCGTCAAGATTTCAACGAGATAAGAGTATTTCTCACATCAGATACCACAGAGCCCGCCAGAAAGCCTGTCTGTGACAAGATGGCCGCCGGTGATGACGATAAACACTCCGCCGGGAGACATCTAGCCTTTATATCAGTGTTGTAGTCGAGACCACCTCACTCGAGTCCGAGTCGAAACCGAGACAAGAGAGAGTCGAGTCCGAGTCAAGACCGAGTCCATAGAGAGTCGAGTCCGAGACCAGAGAGAGTCGAGTCCGAGTCGAGACCGAGACCAGTGAGAGTTGATTACCTAATTTACTTTTATTTACTTAGAGAAATCCTTTTTTTCACTGAATTTACTTAGAGTTTAAAAAATATGATCAGTTTAGGGTAAAAAGGCCACATAGTAGGTGGTGTTAAAAGTAATTTTATTACAATTTGTCATGCGCAGTTGCGCACTAGAAAATCACCAATCACTGGGCGTGTCGATCAATTTAAAGAAATATTTTATTCACATACATTAATAATCATGAAAAATATTTTGAATTGAACTCGAGTGGACTCGGGAATAAGTCCGAGTCCTAAAAAAAAAATGTTTGAGTACGAGTCAATTCCGAGTCCAAAAGAACACGAGTCCATGACAAGACCAAGACCATTAAAATATGGTCTCGAGACCGAGTCCGAGACGAGTCCGAGTCTCGAGTACTACAACACTGCCTTTACATAGATGTTAATCGATAGGGTTTGGTTTAGGGTTAGTTGCATGTAATTATGCATAATTTATAGTTATTACTACAGTGACTACATGTAACATGTGGGACAATGACACTGTAAAATAAAGTGTTGCCAAAAACACTGTACAACAACCAATCCTAAAGCATGGGTTTGACAGATGCTGTTGTGGAGTCAGCAGATGGAGCCAGAGCACAGCCGATGGAGGTGTGTGTCCTCGCTGGTGAGCTATTGAGCTGTCTTGTGCGATAAAAGGGCTTGTTGAACAACACTGGGACTCAGAAATCAAAAGCTGCAGAAACAGCACAAGCATCGTGAAGCAGATGAAAGCTCAAACGCCCCAAAGATGTGTGTTTCAGAAGTGCCTCTGAACCGCAGTGTTCACGCTATAGTGTGTGTGTGTGTGAGTAGGTTAGTACCGCGGGCTCTTTGATTGGCGTGTCTGGGAGGGGCGTGGCCTGGGTGAGGGGTGTGGCCTGTGTGTAGCAGAGAGAGACAAAACAGCTCAGCTTTTACAAACATCACTCATGCCTGTCATTAAAGCATTGGAAGAGAAAGAGAATATCATCACACACATCATCATCCAACAAACCATCACAGCAATCCTAGAGCGTGCGGGAAAAATGTGCCCTTATAATGAATTCAACTCTTAGTTTATCCATGAAAAAACCCAGACAGCAAACTGACATTGAATCAACGTGGAAACGACGTCTCTCATGACATTGAAACAACGTTGATTTTGCTCATCGAATTAACGTTGAACCAACGTCAGACGCGGCATTCTTCAAAGCTAAATGAAAATCGAAAATTGGTTTGCTTTCATAACGTTGAAACAACGCGTTGATTTCAAGTTGATTTTCCGTTAGTTTTGAAAGAATGACGCGTCTGACGTTGGTTCAACGTTAATTCGATGAGCAAAACAATGTCAGATCAACGTTGTTTCGATGTCATGTTTCCACGTTGATTCAATGTCAGTTTGCTATCTATACGGCTCTGGGGGAAACGCATGTGCCAACATTCACTACACATTCAGCTCTGGACTTGCCCATCTATATATGCATAGAGCAGTGAACTTTAGTTACAGGAATCACACAGGACTCTCTACCCACAATGCCTTTGTCAGGAGGACGTACAGTGGAGGCTGGTGGTCGAGGCCGGGATGCTTCTGTGGGTGTGAGCGCTGGTTTGGCTGGAGCCTCTTCTTCCTCTTCCTCCTCTTCCTCGGGGATCTCGGGCGGGGCTGGAGGCGGGGCCAGGTCAGGGCACTGACCAATCTCTGCGTTCTCAAAGGCCACGGGCTGGGAGAAATCCACCGGGCTGTTTCATTGACACACACACACACACAACACACAGCTCACTTGAGGGAATGATGACACAACCTGACTCCAATCAGGTGAATAATGAACACAGTTATGAGCAAGGACAGACTCATTTAAATGAGTGCGGTAGAGGGCAATGGGGTTCGCTCGAGTGGAAAAGACCACTGGCAGAGATTCATACTCCTCATTAGAGCAAGAAAAACTGTGATTGTTAAAGTCATACAGCGTTTAGCTTATGACTGCACCTCAAAACTGCAAACAAGACCTTTAATCTACAGCCACGGGAGGCTGGGAAAATGGGTCAGTGTTTACAGCGGTCGGTGGCTTTCTCGCTACAGCGCGATCCAGCCGTGACACACTGCAGTGAATGAGCTCTGGAGGTTATCTGCCACATTTATCTCCAGCTGCTAAAGGTGACCTCGCTAATGTCTTTGCCATGCTACTATCTGTTTAACACACTTGCTAACTTTGCTGTTCGGAGAAATCTGCTAGTGCTAAGAGTGAACAAAACTAGTTTTACCAACCAAGAGGAACGCCAAACTTATGCGTGTATTTGCATTGAAGGGTTAGCTCACCCAAAAAATAAAATGAACTTCTCCCCCTCATGTCGTTCCAAACCCGAAAGACCTTCGTTCATCTTCAGAACACAAATGAAGATATTTTTGATGAAATCTGAGAGCTTTCTGAACCAGCCATAGACCACAACGTCACTGCAACTGTCTTTCAAGGTCCAGAAAGGTAGTAAAGACACTGTTAAAATAGTCCATGAGACTCCAGTGGTTCAACATTAATGTTATGAATATGAACAGGGCTTGACATTAACTTTTTTGCTCACTAGTCAATGTGGCTAGTGGTTTTCCAAAATTACTAGCCACACAGCACTTTTACGAGCCACATTTTTGTTGTTGGAAAATTATGTTTTATTTGATTCAAGTTGGCAATGGGGCTTAAAACGTGCTAAAATGTACTAATATTATCATTAGCTCTGGTTGTAAAGGTGCTTTTTTGAAAACATGCTGTCTATTAAGATAAACACATAAAATAGCTTCTTATAGACCCCTTTTGCGTCGACGTCACAGTTACGTCACGGCGCTAGCTGGAGTGAAAAAAACAAAACAAAGTGAAAACTGGAGGCGGCCAATGCAAACCAGCACAGATTCATCTTATTGTGTTGTTTGGTGCAAGTATCAATGAAAAATGAATATGCTGTATCTGGAATTTTTATTTCTAGAAAATATTCACATGATTAAAATCGCACCGTAATGTCACCCCCCCCCACCCCCCCAAATAACGACTTTATTCAACAATCTCTTCTCTTCCACGTCATTCTCCAACACAGCTGATGTAGTGTAAACGCAGCGCTTCCAGGTTCTGCGTCAGAACGGCGGCTCATTATTGGGCGACGCTGGTCATGTGATCACCACGACACGCGTGTAATGCTGACGCAGGAGCCGGCCAATAATACGTCAATTTACACTAGTTGGAGAATGACGTGGAGGAGAAGAGATTGTTGAATTAAGTCGTTATTTGGGGCGGTTGCGCACAATATGTATTCATAAAATTTAATGTTAAACCACTGGAGTCACATGGACTATTTTGATGGTGTCTTTACTACCTTTCTGGGCCTTAAAAGTTGCAGTGAGATTGCTGCCTATGGCTGGTTCAGAAAGCTCTCAGATTTCATCAAAAATATCTTCATTTCTGTTTTGAAGATGAACGAAGGTCTTTCGGGTTTGGAATTACATGAGGGAGAGAAATTAACGACAGTAATGTCATTTTTGGGTGAACTAACCCTTTAAGCCAAATAACATCTCAGGTTACGACTGTAACCCTGGTCCCCTGAGAAGGGAATGAGACGATGGGTCGAAAGGGAACTTCAATGTGTAAAGGTCCATTCACACCAAGGATGATAAACATATCCACAAGTTTCCGAGGGGCGCTCCTGTAAAAAATAAAGTGGGTGAAACTTCCGGGGACGCGGCGGAAGTAGCATTCCAATGGTATTTTGTGTGTTAGTTAGCGAAGAGGCTAGCTGTTTTTCGGAGAATTATTTTACTTTTTAAAGACGCAAATCTTTATGAGCGATGTCGTTACGGAGCTCAGGGGCAACATGTGCTGTTCGCGGTTGTATGTATAACCGGACTAAACTAATTCAGTGGCTTAAACGTGATTGTTTTGAACATAAGCCGAAAACGAAATCAGAGTGATTCTGCCAGAGCCCGTCTCTGATCCTGCCAACGACTGTAGTTTCCATCACCTCCCAAAAGACGACGAATCTTCCTGTGTACATTTGTTTAGATTCTTAATATTCTATAAACTCTCTCAGCATGTGATTGGCTGTTCGCTACTGATGTTACACCTAAACTCAGGATCAAAGCCTGTGTTGACAGAATACCAAATGTGCCAGTTAATGTATTCCAGTAGCACATTCATTTATAATTTTGAATAAACTCCAAAGCACAATGACTAAGTGTGTATTTTTTATTTGAATTGTTTGTCAGCTCGCACAACTGTCTGTCACCATGCCTTGATGAGTATTGATTATTAATAATGTTATTATAATACTCCCAATCAACTACTGCGGAGGGTAAAGGTACTGTTATTTCACCCTTTTGAATTTCGTTGAGGTTGTGTTCCCACATCGTTAGCTAGTTTGGATCGCTATAACTTGAATGACTGTCAACTGTTGAATGAACGAGTGTCAAGCATGTCAAGTCGCGCTTTGTTTACTTCAAACCGGAAGTCGCGCCCACTTTTGACGCAAGGCCTCATGGGGCGTAGGAAACTTGTGGATAGTGCTAAAAATAGTTCACACCACAGCTGTAACGATAACGATATAGGGAAACGTTATCATTGGAATCAATCACTTTCAGAACGATAAAACACTGACAGCCAATCAGAATCCATTCTAATTTAAGGGCTCACACATTTAACATGGCAGACGACATCGTGGAGAAGTTAATGGCAGAAGTCAGCACATTCCAGCAAGTCAAGCCCCTTCTCAAGAAAATGCACATGGAAAACAATGGTTCCACAACATCGTCTTGCTTCCTCTGAAAAAGACTAGGTGTTGTGTCCACTATATTGACTATATATTAGATTGTTAGATGGATTCGACTAGCTTCACTCTAAACACATCATGCTGAGGACATCTGCTGGTTAAAGCCTGTAAACGCAACTAGAACAGCAAAAACATGTTCAGTGACGTACACACTTTCAAACCGCAACGCGAGATTCGAATAAACAGACGTTGTCATTCGTTGGAAAACGCAAATATAGTTATCGTTATAGTTATCATCCTTGGTGTGGATGCAAATACAGTTATCGTTTTAGTTATCTTTATACTTATCGATCATTGGTGTGAACGCAACTATATTTATCTTTATAGTTATCGTTCTTGGTGTGAATGTAAATATAGTTCTCATTATAGTTGTGGTTCTTGGTGTGAACGGCCGTTAAGAGTGATGTGTGGTTGTGCTGGAGGTTGTACGTACACAGTGTTGATGAGAAGGTTCCAGATGCATCCCTGAAACGGCACGTTGGGCCGCTGTGCGCCTGTCTCTATCTCGAGCGGGATGCCCCCGACGAAGAGCCGATGGATGCTGAGCGGTTGATCGCCGGGTAACGTCTGCTGCATGAGCGGCTCCTCGTCCACCTGCATGGAGAAAGATCTGCACACACACACACAAGCTCTATCAGCTCTAGAGAGGCCTGAGAAACGGGGGCACGGAGAAACAGAGGGTGGCTTACGCTCCCGGGAGTCTCAGGATGCGCAGGGAATGCTCTCTCCCGTCGTGCAGGATCCCCCGCTCGGGTTTCCGGACAGTTCTGCGTACACCCCTGCTGCCCGTGAACACCACCACCTCCAGTGCGCCTTTATTCAGCGTCACAGACAGGTACGGCTACAGACACACACAGACGGACAGGAGAAATCAACCTCATGTTCCTGGTTTCTGCGCTGTGCTTTCAAGCTTTTTTGAGTGCTAGTGAGGGATTACAAGAGAGATCTCTCATTAGAAAGATCAGTGGAAATCTATTACAATTCACCTCATTTTCAAGGAGAAAATCTCATTAGTTACTCTTTATCTGAAGTCAAATTGGTCTACTCTGCTCTGATTGGTCAGATGGCCCAGTCTGTTGTGATTGGTCTACTCTGCTCTGATTGGTCAGATGGCTCAGTCTTTTGTGATTGGTCTACTCTGCTCTGATTGGTCAGATGGCTCAGTCTGTTGTGATTGGTCTACTCTGCTCTGATTGGTCAGATGACCCAGTCTGTTGTGATTGGTCTACTCTGCTCTGATTGGTCAGATGGCTCAGTCTGTTTTGATTGGTCTACTCTGCTCTGATTGGTCAGATGGCTCAGTCTGTTGTGATTGGTCTACTCTGCTCTGATTGGTCAGATGACCCAGTCTGTTGTGATTGGTCTACTCTGCTCTGATTGGTCAGATGACCCAGTCTGTTGTGATTGGTCTACTCTGCTCTGATTGGTCAGATGGCTCAGTCTGTTGTGATTGGTCTACTCTGCTCTGATTGGTCAGATGGCTCAGTCTGTTGTGATTGGTCTACTCTGCTCTGATTGGTCAGATGGCTCAGTCTGTTTTGATTGGTCTACTCTGCTCTGATTGGTCAGATGACCCAGTCTTTTGTGATTGGTCTACTCTGCTCTGATTGGTCAGATGACCAAGTCTGTTGTGATTGGTCTACTCTGCTCTGATTGGTCAGATGGCTCAGTCTGTTGTGATTGGTCTACTCTGCTCTGATTGGTCAGATGACCCAGTCTGTTGTGATTGGTCTACTCTGCTCTGATTGGTCAGATGGCTCAGTCTGTTGAGATTGGTCTACTCTGCTCTGATTGGTCAGATGGCTCAGTCTGTTGAGATTGGTCTACTCTGCTCTGATTGGTCAGATGACCCAGTCTGTTGTGATTGGTCTACTCTGCTCTGATTGGTCAGATGACCCAGTCTGTTGAGATTGGTCTACACTGCTCTGATTGGTCAGATGACCCAGTCTGTTGTGATTGGTCTACTCTGCTCTGATTGGTCAGATGGCTCAGTCTGTTGAGATTGGTCTACTCTGCTCTGATTGGTCAGATGGCTCAGTCTGTTGAGATTGGTCTACTCTGCTCTGATTGGTCAGATGACCCAGTCTGTTGTGATTGGTCTACTCTGCTCTGATTGGTCAGATGGCTCAGTCTGTTGTGATTGGTCTACTCTGCTCTGATTGGTCAGATGGCTCCGTCTATTGAGATTAGTCTACTCTGCTCTGATTGGTCAGATGACCCAGTCTGTTGTGATTAGTCTACTCTGCTCTGATTGGTCAGATGGCTCAGTCTGCTGAAATTGGTCAACACAGCTCTGATTGGTCAGATGGCCCAGTCTGTTGTGATTGGTCTACACTGCTCCGATTGGTCAGATGACCCAGTCTGTTGAGATTGGTCTACTCTGCTCTGATTGGTCAGATGGTCCAGTAGCCTTCCTAAAGCTCAGCGATTGAACTCTAAAGACAGTAACAATCACATTGATTTTCCCATTTCAATCCTAGCACAAGTCCGATGATGAAACGTTGGAAAAACATTGGAAAATCTAGGAATATTCAAAAATATACAATAGGGGCACTTTAGTTTAAGCTACTCACTGTAATGCATTTAATGCTTTTCTCATTTAACACAATAATGACTTTAAAGGATCTTTTAGGCCTAATTTCTCAGTCAAATTTGATGTGCGATTACTTCGATTACTTAATCGGCATATCGTGTAGTGTAAAAAAAAATATAATCGCTTGACAGCCCTAATTTCTTTTTAAATGTTTGCTTCCTTTACAAAGGGAACACCCTGAACACCCTGTTTGACAATATCTTTGAAGCACTTCACACAGAGAAAGCCAATCAGTAATGTATTCAGAGCCGGTAATCAGACAGACGGCTGTGAGAGCACACTCTCGCCCTCTCCACGCTGCACTGGAATTGAGGAGAGCGATGCGAGAGCAGACTCCTCTCTCCAAACCCTCGGAGCCGTTCAGGCGTCCGCACGCAGCGCAGGTGACCCTGGACTCGCCGTAAATTGGAGGAATGAATGAGGAGCAGTGGAGAAAACCCTTGGCCTCTCCGAAGCCGCACTCCTGCAAAATGACACCCACTTAATTTACGAGCGATAATGATTTTCAAAAGGTGGCGGTCCGGCACCCTCTCCTGGGAGGGCTATCGCAAATTGGATGCGATCCATCAAAACGGCGGCTTGTAAATCTATTTTTACGAACGGAGTATCACGGGGAGGTGAGAGCGCCGACTGCTTACTACAGATCCGCCGCATAATTGATGTGCTGCCCCTGAGCTGAGGAGAGAGAGAGAGAGAGGGATGATGAAGACGTTGCAAACAAAGATGTGGAAAGTCATATTATAATTAAAATGATCGCCGTGCCCCTGGCCTTTAGTCCACCTGGTAACAGAAAAAGATCAACTTTTGTTTGCTGAAGGCCAGAGGCAATTACAAACCTGCCCGGATAATAAATCTCTTTTATGGGCTGTGAGACCCCCGTAACCCCGTGGATTCATTATGATCTCGTACTGAAGGCCACGGCTCCCTGGACTTCCACCATTACCCATAATCACCTTCCTAAGCGCTCAGACAGGAAGGCAGGAGGAATAACACACTGAACTGTCTCACAGCCTGTGAGTCTGCGTTTGGTTAAACTACGAACACTCAGACGCGGTCACATCTAAAAGCACATTCATCTTTAGTCCTATTGGCCATTTGACCGCACTGATGCTATCGGATGAACTGAATTGAGCCGGATATGTTGTTTTTATTATTACTAATAATGAATCAACATTAGACTGACTCATAACGACACCATTTTAGTCTGTAAAGATGCTTGAATTAGTTTCACAGCTAATAAAGCACTATAGAAATGAGTGCGCAATGACTTTTGTGTGTGTAATTTAATAAAGAATGAATTGCAGTTGACGTGATTAAACGTGATGGAATTTGTCTCTTTCACAATGTATTGAATTCAGTGGAAAATTCAGATGGAACGACCGGCTCTATGCTTGATAGAGATTATTAGCGCGATCGCCTAAAGAACAATTGGTAACACTTTACAATACGGGTGCACTAATAAGCATTAATTCATGCTTAACTAATGCACAGATAATACTTAATTAATGTGTAACTAATGATTATCTAAGCTATTCATTAATGATTACCACATTAGGAACTAATTAAGAGTCTGTAAAGGTTAATGTATTAGTTCATACATTAATTGTTATTAATTAAATATGTAATTGTGGATTAATTCGATAATAACTCATTTTTTTAACTAATAGTGTTAATTACCAGAATGAGCCAAAGCCTTGTATTTCAACTTCCAGATAATACGACAGGTACACTAATATGCATTAATATATGTTTAATTACTTCATTGTTAGTGCAAATTCATGTGCAAATTACTACAATTACTAAATGACTAGTTAATAATGATGTGCCCCAACAAGTAAAGTCATAACATAATGATACCTTTGCAAATCATTAGCTAATGATTAATTAAAGCAGACAACTGGAAGTTGAAGTGCATAGCTTTGACTAATTGTGGTAATTAACACATTAATTTACACTATTAGTTAATAAAATATGTTATCAAGGAATTAATACTCAATGACACATTGAATTAATAGCAATTCATGTAATACTTAATCTATTAATCTTATAGACTCTTTATTAGTTGCTAATGCAGTAATCATTAATTAATGGTTTAGTTCTTCATTAGTTATACATTAACTCATGATTATCTGTGCATTAGTTAAGCGTGAATTAATGCATATTAGTGCACCCGTATTGTAAAGTGTTACCGAACAATTACCTAAAGAAATTATGCAAATCCGGTAGGACTAAAAACGTCTTGTGCCGAACGCGAGTGCGCAGGGTAATTGTCCATCTACTCCACTCCGTTGACTTTGCACACACATTTCCACACGTTTCTCATGTGTACTCTGCAGCCGTTAGCAGACTTAATTGAATTGTTTGTCCCTGCCGACCAATTGTGTGCCCAATTTTTAATAAACCCGTCTCTAAGTGGAAAGAAAAAACAATAATCAGGCTGTATGAAACTATTAAAAATGAGATTAATAGATTTATAGAGACATGCTCCTGTGTTGCTGACGCTGTGGGACTGTCAGTGTTCTGTGTTATCAGCATTAAACACACTTCAGTAATGAATGTTTGGGTGTGTGTGCACCTCTCCGATCTGTCTGCGCGAGCGGCGCGAGCTCCGGGCCCGCGTCAGCTGTGTCATGGACGTCACTCCTCCTCGGCCGAACAGGATGATGCCGTCCTCGCTTCTGGTGCTGAAGGAGAGTGTGATCTCGGAGCCCACGTCGAACAACACAGGCTTCAGCTCCATGTAGCCGGGCCTGGGGAAGCTCACGGTGTGGACGTTCTGACAGACAGAGACAGCGTTTAGTTAGTGGAATTACCCAGAAGCCCCCTGCGGTGTCGGCTGTAACTCACAGATTCAGCACGTGACCACCAGACTGGCCATTTATTTTGACTACTTTTCAAATGGCTTTACGTAACACACAAACCCTAAAATAAGTCGCGTCTGACTCCAAGTTGCACAGGGTCGGGTCAAAATGAGAGAGAGAGAGAGAGAGAGAGAGAGAGAGAGAGAGAGAGAATTCTGTGTGTTTGTTCTATTATTTATATTTATATATAATATGTTGATGCTTTGGCAACATTGTGTTACACAGTCATGCTAATAAAGCTATATTGAATTGAATTGAAAGTAATTACTGTAGTAACGAGTGCTGAGTAACTAACTACATGTACTTGCTATAAGGTTAAAGGATTAGTTCACTTTTAAAAAAACTTTTGCTGATAATTTACTCACCCCCATGTCATCCAAGATGTCCACGTCTTTCTTTCTTCAGTCGAAAAGAAATTAAGGTTTTTGATGAAAACATTCCAGGATTTTTCTCCATATAATGGACTTCAATGGGAACCAAACGGTTCAAGGTCCAAATGAGAGTTTCAGTGCAGCTTCAAAGGGCTTTAAACGATTCCAGACGATGAATAAGGGTCTTATCAAGCGAAATGATCACTCATTTAATAAATAAATAACAAAGTTTAAGTTTTATAAGCTCAAATGCTCGCCTTGCTCTGTTCTGTGATGCACATTCGTGACTCTCCTGTTCGAACTCGACTCGGAAAAAGATTTGTTCATTTTGATAAACAGGAGAGTCACGAACGTGCATCACTGAACAGAGCAAGGCGAGCATTTGTGCTTATAAAACTTAAACTTTGTTATTTCTTTATTAAACGAGTGATCGTTTCGCTTGATAAGACTCTTATTCTTCGTCTGGTGTCGTTTAAAGCCCTTTGAACAGTTTGCACTGAAACTCTCATTTGGACCTTGAACCGTTTGGTTCCCATTGAAGTCCATTATATGGAGAAAATCCTGGAATGTTTTCATCAAAAACCTTAATTTCTTTTCGACTGAAGAAAGAAAGACGTGGATATCTTGGATTACATGGGGGTGAGTAAATTATCAGCAAAACTTTTTTAAAAAGTGAACTACTCCTTTAAGGCTAGGGGTTGGTTAAAGTCACTTGAAATTATGCATAATTTACTGTTATTACTGTAGTAAAATAAAGGATTACCATACAGTAATCTGTGGAAATAACATTTGTTCAGATCAAATGACAATGAATGCCAGAATTGAACACACAGCGATGAATGTTGATCCCTGCTGAAAATTGTTCACTGACAAATTAAACTAGTGTGGTTTATGTCTGGCTTTGGTGCTCAGCTCTTGATTCTAGCTTAGTTCTGTGTTCTCTGTATCACTGTATTCCTGTGTTTATTTCATGTCTAATTACTCATTTTATAAATGCATGAATTATTAGATGCATGAATTGTTTGCTTTGGTCAATAATCAGACAAACTGCTCAAAACATTGTTAGTAGTGGTTACTACTGATGAAATAAAACACTGTCATTGCATTAGAAACCTAACAAGAATACTGCCATTTTTATCGGTGTGTATTTGGGTGAGTAGAGGACTTTTAAAGGGTCTAGGATTATTCAAAGATTATTCTTTGGATGAGACTTTGAGGAAACTTAATGTTTCAGATAATACTGAAATATTTTTGGATAATGCAATTTTTTAAAAGATATCAGGGATTTTCAGACCAAAAAAGAAGTGGAAATAGGTACAAGTAAAGCCTCATATTGTGAGATCTATTAAGCATGAAGATATATTTCTATAATTTTATAGAACTAAAGTGTAATTTTGTAGCCAATTATGTCAGAATGATCATTTTTTGGGAAAACGATGCCTTTAAAGCAACACTAAGTAAGATTTTTTACCCTAAAATAATGTTTTCAAAATCGTTTCAGTGGTTCCTCAAGTCGTGACATGGTGAAATAAACTTCTGCCTCCACTTTGGGGTCCTTTATCTGATATATCCACGCTATGTAAGATTGCCAGATCGGGTCGCGTTTCTGTAGTCCGAATGAGACATAAGAAAACTACAAATTTGACTTGCTTTTCGGCAAGCGTTACATTTGCACATACTGGAAAGTAGACTACAACTATATTTAAGACGGAGCTGCCGGGTAGCTTTTGAATTGTCATTAGGGGTGTAACGGCACACAAAAATCACGGTTCGGTACGTAGCTCGGTTTTAAAGTCACGGTTCGGTACGTTTTCGATACAGCAAAAAGAAAGAAATGCCAGAGAAATTTCCTATTTGTTTAAAGAAAAAATATTTTTAAATAAGTGTGAGTTTTCCTAGATCTTGAAACTTTCAGGTTTATAAATGGGGGTCATCTTTGAAGGATGAACAAATAATGTTTTGGTCATCACATTAAAAATAACATTTAAATATATATTTATTTATATAATATTTGAATTTTGAAGTGCTGGAAAAAGATGTGTGAAGTACTTGAAAGCATTTCACCATTCCAGCCAAACTGGTTCCAGTTAGTGTTACTGTATTAAATCCATGGTGAATGTTGCTGGCCTGTGGACATAAAGTACTAGTTCATTCACGGCACAATGTTTCTCCTGGTTTCCATGACAGCGCTGTTTGATCTAATAGAGATCTACGGTTAATAACGGAGAAATGTGAATGCATCTCACTAGATCTCGCAGCGATGTTATTACCTCAGTGGCGAATTCAAATGTTTTCTTTACCGGATCTCTTAGCGCGGTGCGGTAACAGTGTTGCTTGATCGAGATCGGCTCAAGCCGCCTTTCCACTGCACACGACATTCGCATACGATTGTCGCATTTCGCTCCCTAGTGTCAGTCGTTCATCTCAAATAAAAATATAGTAGTATAAATATTGGTTTAATAATTATAAAATATATTCTCTGCTATAGTTAATTATAACCAACATTTTAAAGAGCGAGCGTTTACAGAAAAACATTAAAGAGTTAAAATATTGGTAATTCTAGCCTCGCGCTCATAGTTTTTATTAGAATACATCACTTCCGGTTGGCCGGTCGCGTACGGTCTAGCCGCCGACGTTCAGATATTTCAACGGATCCAAAGCTCAAAACGGATCCGAATTTTCCGCACACGCATATGATCGGAACTCCCCGCAGCTCCCGTACGACTCTCCATTGGAAATGAATGACTTCCGGTCCGACGGCGGTCGTTTGTCGTGTGCAGTGGAAAGGCGGCTTCACGCTGCACAGATGTTGCTGGTCCGAACTGATAAACGATCCGTGAAGCACATAACGAGGAGCGCAGTTTCGTTCTGCTTTCCATTTGGATGTTGCGCAACGTTGTGTTGGCCGCGTCAGCACGAATTTTGCCGGCAAGAAAAATGGTCCAAGCAATCGTTCGGTTTGTATGCGTACCGAACCGGAAGCCTCGAACCGAAACGGTTCAATACGAATACATGTACCGTTACACCCCTTGTCATCATGATTCCACAGCCGGTGCCGGATAAACAGAGAGTGTGTGCTACAGTAGGCATTATTATTTTACAATATTTTATATTATTATTTTAAATTATTTACGATAGCAGTAATGGGCAGTTCCACTTCCAACCTGTAGGGCGACCGCAGAGGAAAAGTTTCTTTGTCGTTGCTTTAAGTAATATTAAACACAGAACTTTTTTACTCATGAATTGAACATGAATTGAAATTGCCTTTCTAAAAACCCACAGAAAATTCCAGAGAGAATTGGCAGCTCAGAAATGCTAATTCTCGTCTGGTTTCAGCACTACACACAGAACAGCTCTGTCTCCATTATTGTCCCAGGATAAAAGAGAGGAGAAGCGTTTAATCTGAGCCACTGTAACAAAGACTGGAGGGGAAGAAAGGAGACGTGGTGTCTTCTATTGTCTTCCTGTACCTCGATGGAGCAGCCCTTAGTCAGTCCTGTGTAGTCCGGGCTGCTCAGCAGATTGTACGGCGTTCGGGAAACCTCGATGTCTTTCATGCAGCCGGAGAAGCTCTTCGAAACCACCTCTGGCCTGAGGACACATGCCAGACACAAAATATGAACTGCAGGAGCAAGCCGAAGTCTCTGTGTGTGTGTGAATGCACATTTCCACACCTGTATCTTCCACCCTTGGGTAAACCTCCAAAATACATCCTCTCGTCTTCCCTCAGGTTGAGCCCTGTAGCGCCACCTGGAGACGTCATCTGCAACTGCTCGTCCTCGTTAGTGTCAATGTTCACTATGGCGATGGTTGCTGAGTAAATGCAAAAGAGGGAATAGTCCGCTTGTGAGTCATTCGCACATTGCTTTCCAAGACGAGTGATAAACGGGAATGTGAACGCAAATCAGACAGGAATTCGCATGCGTTTTAGCCAATGACGACTTCGTTAGTTCAACAAAGCATGTAGGGGATGAAAGTGGTGGCGTAAATGAGCACCAGTTTAACTAACACGATTAAAAATAGATGTCATGTAGTTCATGGATGACTTACAGAACTAAACTCTTTTATTTTACACAAAATTGTGTTCCAAATTTAAAGTTGACATCACAAAAATTGGTATCTATGCTAATGTTCATTTTCACCGGATCAATTTAGAGTGTTTAAAGGATTAGTTGACTTTTGAAAAAACTTTTGCTGATAATTTACTCACCCCCATGTCACCCAAGATCTCCATGTCTTTCTTTCCTCAGTCGAAAAGAAATTAAGGTTTTTGATGAAAACATTCCAGGATTTTTCTCCATATGATGGACTTCAATGGGAACCGGATGGTTCAAGTATCAAACGACAGTTAATAACAGTTTCAGATGCAGCTTCAAATGACTTTAAACGACACCAGACGATGAATAAGGGTCTTATCATGCGAAACGATCAGTTATTTCAAAACTTATTCCAAAAATGTAACTTTTCTAAGGACAAATACTAGCCTTGCTATATTCTCTATTCAAAGCTGCGTTTGTAACGTCACGTAATACGTAATTACGTTCAAAAGGTCACGGGCGACGTAGCCGGAAGTACAGAATCAAAATCGTCCGACATCGTTGTTTTACCTTTTAATTCCTTTTTTGTAAACGCCGCTTGAGTTAGTTTTCACGTTCAACCTATATATGCGTTCAACTTGTAAACACTGACTCTGTACTTCCGGCTACGTCGCCCGTGACCTTTTGAACGTAATTACGTAATACGTGACGTTACAAACGCGCCTCACAGAATAGAGCAAGGCTAGCATTTGTCCTTAGAAAAGTTACATTTTTGGAATAAGTTTTGAAATAACCGATCGTTTCGCATGATAAGACCCTTATTCATCGTCTGGTGTCGTTTAAAGACATTTGAAGCTGCATCTGAAACTGTTATTAACTGTCGTTTGGACCTTGAACCATCCGGTTCCCATTGAAGTCCATTATATGGAGAAAAATCCTGGAATGTTTTCATCAAAAACCTAAATTTCTTTTCGACTGAAGAAAGAAAGACATGGACATCTTGGATGACATGGGGGTGAGTAAATTATCAGCAAAAGTGTTTTCAAAAGTGAACTAATCCTTTAAGCTTCCAAATGACGCCTAATTTATGATTATTACTCAATTCAATTGATGCACCTCTTGATGGAAGTCACATCACAACATGTATTTCCATCCAGAGGTGCAGACATTGTTGGTCAAGATCTTGTATCGTCCATCCCTCAGTGAAGTCCAGCACGTCCCAAACACTCTCAGAGAGTTTAAGATCTGGAGCTCCTGTTAGTAATTCGGATACTCTGGTTAAGTAATGCATGTTCATTTTCAAACCCTTTCCAGACACGTCTACAGAGTCGCTCACACGTGGCTGTCGTGAGCTCATCTTTTGTGATTTCTGTACCTTCTTTCTTCATGCGGGACATGGTGAGGGACTTCCATTTTCCGTCATTATAGCGTTTGTTACTGATGACGGAGCCGGTGCCTGAGCCCAGATCACAACTCACTTTCACCTTCCCGTCTCTCAGTTCTGCACTCATGAAGTCTTTCTGCTCAGAGAGAGAGAAGGCATGTCAACAAATTATGTTAAAGGGATAGTTCACTTTGAAATTAATTTTTGATATGTTTTAGCTTCCCTCAAGGGCGTCCAAGATGTAGGCGTCTTTGTTTCCGCAGTATTTTCAATTTTGACATTTTTCAGTCAAACCGTTCTTGTCTGTCAGTCATACACTGGAGGCTAAGGGGGTCCACCAAAGAGCAGCACAGAGAAGTCCAAATTAAACATGATTTAACGACTCGTAAATGTAAGCACACACTGATGGCCTAAGACACGAAACGAGCGGATTGTGTGAGAAAACAAACAGTATTTATGTCGTTTTTACCTCGTTTAATCCAAGTGATCTGAATCAGTTGTTCAATGTCCGACTGAACCAAACTGAATCAGTTCAATGTTACGCCGGAAGTGATCGCTTGCGTGTGACGTCACTCAATGTTTACACGGAGATTTCGGAAGTTTTACCTTTTACTAAACATATTTAGATATACCGTAATCGTCTTCCATTGCGGTTTCCCGTATATCTAAATATGTTTAGTGAAAGGTAAAACTTCCGAAATCTCTGTATAAACAAAGAGTGACGTCGGCGCGCAAGCGATCACTTCCAGACCGAAGCGCCCGTGCCGTCAGATCATTTTGTCATGGCTGTGGTTACAAGAGGTAAAAACGATATAAATACTGTTGGTTTTCTCACACAAACCGCTCGTTTCGTGTCTTAGGCCATCAATGTGTACTTACATTTACGAGTCATTAAATCATGTTTAATTTGGACTTCTCTGTGCTGCTCTTTGGTGGACCCCCTTAGCCTCCAGTGCAGTGTTGGGGAGTAGTTAACTACAAGTAGCGAAGCTACTAACTTAACTACATTTTTTAGTAGCTTGGCAGTAGCTCAGTTGCTTTTTAAACAGTGTAGCTTTTCCAGTAGCTAACTACTTTTTGCAGCAAGTAGCGGTGTAGCGCGAGCAAAAGCTACATTGTGTTTGTCGAGCCTGCGCGAATCAGTGCGCTGCTCGGATATTCTTCTTCTTGTTAGATTACAAACTTATTTTTTTTGCCATCACCGCCACCTGTTGTTTAATCACACATCTGTGGCTAACGGTTCACTGACGTACAGAAGTGTGTTGACACACACATGATGATGGAGCAAAATGTGACAGCAGATTTGGAGGATGGAGAAACAACTAACGTTAATTACCCATGGCCTTATTTGTCCAAGTTCAATCGGTATTTTTGAGAAAATGTTCTACATGCAATTTACGTTGGATGTATATTTTTTTCTTGCAATGTTGTAGCCTATTGGTTACAATTTTGCACTTTTGACAAACAATCTGAGATATTTGGGTGTTGTGTGTAATAAAACAATAGTTTTTGAAATCATAATTTTATTGCATTGTTATAGTGTTTAAAACAATGCAATAAAATTGTGATTTCAAAAAGTATTGTTGTCCCCTTCTGTCCTCAGACACTTATTCAGTTATTAATAATACGTTGTTCAAAAAAGCAAAAGTAGTTTCAATGTAGCTAGCTACTTTTTGATAGTAACTTGTAGTGTAGCTAACTACTTTTCCAAAAGAGTAGCTTGACTGTAGTTTAACTACTTTAACTTACGAGTAGCTTGTAGCTTGTCAAACTACAGTTTCAGAGTAGCTTCCCCAACACTGCTCCAGTGTATGACTGACAGACAAGAACGGTTTGACTGAAAAATATCAAAATTGAAAATACTGTGGAAATAAAGACACCTACATCTTGGATGCCCTTGAGGTAAGATAAAACATAGCAAAAATTAATTTCAAAGTGAACTATCCCTTTAAATGGCTCACATACACACAAGTTTCAGGAGTGAAAACTGCATTTAACTACAGGAGTGAATCCCCCAATTATCGTTCTGTGTGTGAACGGGACACATCCGGAATCTGAGATGATTGACACCATGGTAACCATAGCAACATTCAGTTTCAATAAAGCCATCAGCAGTGTTGTGTTTGTGAGCTCTTGCAGTGTTGCCTCTTATTATCAGGGTTTTATGGCTTGGTCTTTGGATTTAGCCATTAAAGTTATTAAAGTAAGGGCGATATTTTGAGCATTTGGATTTATTTTCATCCCGTCCAGATGAGAGACACATGTCACTGTCCTGTACACACATCATTTTTGTAAATGCATTTTTGGGAGTTGATTCGGCTGTACTCTGGACTGAACTCTGTGTGTACAGGATTAAAGGAGTAGTTCACTTTTGAAAAAACTTTTGCTGATAATTTACTCACCCTCATGTCATCCAAGATGTCCATGTCTTTCTTTCCTCAGTCGAAAAGAAATTTAGGTTTTTGATGAAAACATTCCAGGATTTTCTCCATATAATGGACTTCAATGGGAACCGGACGGTTCAAGGTCCAAAAGACAGTTAATAACAGTTTCAGATGCAGCTTCAAATGTCTTTAAACGACACCAGACGATGAATAAGGGTCTTATCATGTGAAACGATCGGTTATTTCAAAACTTATTCCAAAAATGTAACTTTTCTAAGGACAAATGCTAGCCTTGCTCTATTCTCTGAGGCGCGTTTGCAACGTCACGTAATACGTAATTACGTTCAAAAGGTCACGGGCGACGTAGCCGGAAGTACAGAATCAAAATCGTCCGACATCGTTGTTTTACCTTTTAATTCCTTTTTTGTAAACAGTGTTTGAGTTAGTTTTCACGTTCAACCTATATATGCGTTCAACTTGTAAACACTGACTCTGTACTTCCGGCTACGTCGCCCGTGACCTTTTGAACGTAATTACGTATTACGTGACGTTACAAACGCGCCTCACAGAATATAGCAAGGCTAGCATTTGTCCTTAGAAAAGTTACATTTTTGGAATAAGCTTTGAAATAAGCGATCGTTTCGCATGATAAGACCCTTATTCATCGTCTGGTGTCGTTTAAAGACATTTGAAGCTGCATCTGAAACTGTTATTAACTGTCTTTTGGACCTCCGACCACCTGGTTCCCATGTAAGTCCATTATATGGAGAAAAATCCTGGAATGTTTTCATCAAAAAACCTTAATTTCTTTTCGACTGAGGAAAGAAAGACATGGACATCTTGGATGACATGGGGGTGAGTAAATTATCAGCAAAAGTGTTTTTAAAAGTGAACTAATCCTTTAAGCAGGTGAACTGACAACTGGATTTAGCTGCAGTGTGTTTGAGTGTGTGTGTGCTTGTTACCATGTCCTTGGTGGCGAAGTACATCATGACTGCGTCTGTGGAGAAGGTGCGAAACTTGAGCATGACGGTGGAAACGTTGGGGTTCCAGCGGGTGGGGCGGCTGACGGCGGCATAACCATCCCCGTCAAACTGAACCGTGCCTTCAGAGTCCGCCGGCTGAGGACTACACACACACACATCGTTACACTGAGCTCCTCACACTGAGACCACAGGTGTGTGTGTGTGTGCGCTCACCTGACTACACATCCAGCACAATCCCCATCTCTCTCTCTGTAGTTCCACAGGCCGATGGCTTTTCCATCCAGAGACGTCTCTCCCATACAGCCGGAGAACGTGGTGGTTTTCACAGCGTCTGCCTTCTACACACACACACACATGAATCAGTATGCATTTCACACGATAAAACATAGCTCAGAGTTGGAGCGTTTCTAGCCTTCACATGTACTGTACACTTTTTTGATTCTGTTTATTTGGATTTAAACGATCTTTACCGAGTCGTTCTCGAGCTGCACACTCAATTAAAGGGTTAGTTCACCCAAAAATGAAAATTCAGTATTTACTCACCCTCATGTTGTTCCAACCCCGTAAGACCTTCGTTCATCTTCGGGACACAAATTAAGATATTTAAGATATTAAGATCGCTCCTGCATACAGTCCATAGGCTTCTTGAGGGACTGGCTCTTGCTGTCCTCGAAAAGTCATTAAAGACATCGTTAAAATAGTCCAAGTGACTACAGGGGCTCAATCTTAAGTTTATCAAACGACGAGAACACTTTTGTGCGCAAAAAAACAACAAAAATAACGACTTTATTTCAACTATTGGTTTATTTCTCCCTCTGCGCGAGTCAGGTTACTAGTTTAATAGCGTAAGCTTCTGTTATTGTACGTCACACGCATCACACACATGACCAGCGTCGGTCAATAGTGAGCCTACGTGTGACGTAGCTCTACGCAATCACACTACGTTAACTGACTACAGGCTCATGGAGAAGGAAGTGAATAGTTGAAATAAAGTCGTTATTTTTGTTATTTTTTTGCGCACAAAAGTGTTCTCGTCGTTTGATAAACTTAAGATTGAGCCCCTGTAGTCACTTGGACTATTTTAACGATGTCTTTAATGACTTTTCGGAGACAGCAAGAGCCAGTCCCTCAAGAATGCAGGAGCGATCTTAATATCTTAAATATCTTAATTTGTGTTCCGAAGATGAACGAAGGTCTTACGGGGTTGAAACAACATGAGGGTGAGTAAATACTGACAGAATTTTCATTTTTGGGTGAACTAACCCTTTAATATCTGCCTCATCACTGATAAATAATAGAAGACATTTTCAAGTTCTGTTTTCGTAAATATCCAGCTAATCTGGTGCTCTGTTTGTTTTTCGGTCTCACAAAGGATTCCCTTTTGAGAATCTGCTGCAAATGATTCAGTGAACTATCTGAATGAATCAAACTGAATCGTGAACAACTTTGGACCTTTTGTATGATTAGATCGAATGTATTACAGCTGATACAAATCACACCACATGAAAATACTAGGGCACAGCAGTATTTGACTGGAGAACTTGGCCTAGTAAAAAAGGCTCTAACTGGTCCAGACATACTATTAAAAAAATTCAAGATTCATTCTTTCAAAACAAGTCTCATTGATGCATTTCTGGAGCCTTAAATGGAAACTTCACCGCTGGCGAAATGGGCTTTCAATCAAACTTGGCTGCTTATGCAATAGAAAGGCAGAGAAAAAATAATAATTGGTGCTGCCTGACTAGAGAAAACTGAGAAAAGGGTCCGTGTAACGCTTCACGATTCAATTTTCAGACCATACAATGCAAAGGCTAAAATGAAAAATGGAAACCAGACAGATTTCTCTTGCTTCTCCAGTTATATTAACAATGGATAGTTGCCTTTTTCTCCCTTTCTTCAATTTTACTGATGAATCAAACATTTGAATAAATGAAATCTAACTGATTTTCTAATTTTCGTCTTGTAAGTTTGGCCGTGGGCGGTGCCATTAGCACAGGGGCGTGGTCGCGGACTAACTCTACTATCATTTCACTGATGCAACTGCTTTATTTACACTGCAGATTAAAAGACGCAACACAGGACGACATTTTTCACATTGATAATATCTGCACTGTTGTAAAAAAGGCCAAATTATGACAATTTCAAACCATTTTCCATTAAAACAGTGTTTCTTAAATTATTTGCAAATAGATTAGACCTTACCATTGTTATTCTTTTAAATCTCTTTAATGTATGGTCTGAAAATTGAATTGTAAAGCGTAACACGGACCAAAAAGGCTGTTGTTTTCCCTTTTGCCAAAACGGTAGGAAAACTTCAACACCCATAATGCACCGGGCTTGTTGCATTCCAGGCCACGCCCACCAGTCTGCTCTGGATCTGCTTTCTAGAGTCAAATCCCGCCTTGCTTTAGTAGGAAATACTTCTTAGCAAACTTTACTCAGAATGGCGTCGCCTTTTATTGCTTACGGGTGCAAGAATTCAAAGAGTGAATGTTTATAGCGAGTTTCCAGAGTAGGGTCCAGAGCTTTGTAGACAGCGGCTAAAGGGTTCAAAGAATCTTAAATACAGAGAAAATAAAGAGACCGAAAATATGATAAACCCCAACATTTCAGACTGGAAGAGCACAAACAAACATGAGCAAAACTGGTTTTAGACCACACGAAGGGGAAAACTGAAAGAAACCGATGTTCTGCCAGTTCCACCAGAAGCAAAACTGTCGCGTTCAGGTAAGAAAGATGTTGCCATAGTGATCCAGTTTTACCCTATTATTACCTTAGTATTAACCCTAACCGTACAATAACTGTGCTGGTAATAACCCTCTGCTGATCCGACAGTCGTGGGCGGGAATACAAACATGAGGAAGTGTAATCAGTAGTTTTCACAAAGACTTTTACTGAATAATTAATCCAGGTAACACACAGAAAGAGGAAACACTGTTCATTTGCATACACACCACACTGTGTGTATTTATGGCAACACTTTACAATACGGGTGCACTAATAAGCATTAATTCATGCTTAACTAATGCACAGATAATACTGAATTAATGTGTAACTAATGATTATCTAAGCTATTCATTAATGATTACCACATTAGGAACTAAATAAGAGCCTGTAAGATTAACGTATTAGTTCATTATTAATAAAATATGTAATTGTGGATTAATTCCATAATAACTCATTTTTTTAACTAATAGTGTTAAATAATATGTTAATCACCAGAATGAGCCACAGCCTTTTATTTCAACTTCCAGATAATATGACAGGTACACTAATATGCATTAATACATGATCAATTACTTCATTGTTAGTGCAAATTTATGTGCAAATTACTACAATTACTAAATGACTAGTTAATAATGATGTGGCCCATCAAGTAAAGTCATAACAAAATGATACCTTTGCAAATCATTAGCTAATGATTAATTAAAGCAGACAACTGGAAGTTGAAGTGCATAGCTTTGACTAATTGTGGTAATTAACACATTAATTTACACTATTAATTAATAAAATATGTTGTTAAGGAATTAATACTCAATGACACATTAAATTAATAGCAATTAATGTATTACTTAATCTATTAATCATATACACTCATTATTAGTTGCTGATGCACTAATCATTAATTAATGGTTTAGCTCTTTATGAGTTATACATTAACTCATGATTATATGTGCATTAGTTAAGCGTGAATTAATGCATATTAGTGCACCCGTATTGTAAAGTGTTACCGTATTTATCTTGGTTCAATGTTGTTTATGCACTTTTGCTGTAAAACCTGATCAAAATGCTAATGAAGAAGATCTCTCTCACCTTGACCGAGCCCAGCATGCCTCCGACAAACAGGAAGGCGTTCTGGTCCACATCCAGCACAGTGTAGCTCTCGGGGGATCGGGCACTCCTACGGGTCGGCAAGATGCCCGTTTTGGGCCCCTCCAGCGCATGGACCGAGATACTGCCGTTCAGCCCGATCCTGGACAACACCGACATGAGAACAACACTTACACCACCGGGAATGAGCAATGCTGACCCCATTACTACTGTCACCAGATGGACTTCAGTTTCGTATTTGTGTACCGAACTAATGTCTGACAAAAACCTAAAGCATTTGAGATCAAACATAATAACGATATAATAATATAAAATGATTCTCAACAAAACACATGCTGTAGCATTCACGTGACCCTGAATTACCGTGAGGCTTCGACTCGGTGCCAGTTTCCATCGTTGATGATGAGATCGGGATATTCTACACGGCCGACCCCTGACCCAACATCCCACAGGAAGTTCACTTTACCCTTCCTCATCTCGATCGCCAAGAAATCCACCTACACACGACAGAGGAATGAATGATGTGTGAATGTAATAACCTCTAATTATTTCCTTTTCCTAGCCATGGGCAGCAGATGTTCGCTAGATGCTATGGATATAAAACCGACTCAAGCGCACAAGCTGAGTCCGAGAGAAGAGGAAGACGTGGGAACAGAGGCGGATTTACACTCACATATTTGGCCGATCCAAGGTAGAAGAGCAGGTTATCAGCAGCAACGGTCTTCACATGGAGGATAATGGTGTTATAGCGGCCCTTCTTGATCTCCGGCCGATAGCTGCGGATGCAGTCTCCGCCGGACGACACAGACACCTTAATCTAGGGTTCAAAGGTCATGAGAGGTCAAGCAGACAGCACATTAATGATCTCATTTCTTTTCTTGCAGATTTAAGGCACTGCAGGTTAATAAGGTCATTACTTTAATAGATGTCGCCGTACTTTCCTCAGCTGAGTAATCGCAGTGCATTAGGACAACTGTTTTATATTGCACGTTTCAACATTGAATGAAAATATGCATTATCTTAAATATCCACAATTATTTATTTATTTATTCTTTCAGAAAATACTGTCAGTAGCCTACTGGAATAAATGTTGTAAATCTGGTGAATGATATATGAACAAACCTTCAGAATATAGACATGAATAAAACTGTAAAGTGGAGAACTCAAGTTATGAATCAAACAATTTTAAATAAAACACGACCCTAACCCTAAAACTTTATTTTACGGTGTCCTGGTTACACTCGTTACATGTAAATTATGCATAATTACATGCAACTAACCCTGAACCCTATAGTATGTACATGTATTAACTAGGGCTGGGTAATAAATATCGATTTCTCGATATTAATCGATTCTCATTTTTACGAACCGATATCGATTCTTAAATCTCAAGAATCGATTAGTCATCCTGTTTCATTTGAATGAATGGATCATTGTTTCGCGGCTGCGCGCATGCAAAACATCGCAATAATCTTTGTCCTTTGTTACTATTCATATGAAACAAATTCAAACTCTTCCGGCTTAATAATACCAGTCACAGCGCCAAACAAACATGAATGAGCATCTGAAAGTGTGTTAAAGATAGAGTACAACTTATCCAAATCCGTATCATGTCACATTGATTCGCTCAATCAGCGTTTCAACCGTGGAAAGACGTCAGTTAAACAGCTTGTAATCAGAAAACACACATCAACTCGTTAGTCAGCTAGAAAAAAAATCACTCTAAATATATACACCATATTACATATGCATTATAATCTTGATATTCTTCAATATTTAATGCATATTTGAATAAATCTGGCAAGTTTTTATGACAGCCACCATTTAAATGTTTATATTTCATATAATCTTCTTATAATAAAAATAAATAAAAGTGTAATTTAAGTGTTTGTGTAGCTACAAAACAGTTCATTATTACCTTCATATTAGGCTAATGAAGCCTATAGGCTACAACTAGACTCCCATAGTTTACAGCATTAGTTAAGAGATTTGATTCCCTTGAAAAAAATTGCCATTTATTGTAACTGATATCCAAAATAATCAATATTGAATCGAAATCGAATCGAATCGCAAGCTTGTGAATCGAATTGCGAAATTTGTGTCAATACCCAGCCCTAATTTAACTTATTAATACCCAGTCCCTAAATATATACTGTAATTACACTGTAACAATGATTCCTCAAAATAAAGTGTAATCAACATTTGTAATATCAACATGTACTCATAAATCAAGGTTAACTTCAACTATATTTACATTAACGATAAGGTTACGGCTCGTTGCACGTAATTACGCATAATTTACTGTTATTGCTACAGTAAGTACATGTAACATATGCAACAAGGTCACTGTTTAATAAAGTGTGAATGCGTCTTCCAACATTAAAATGTCACGTTTAAATCAATGTGTTGCTGTTTCTTTCATAATTGTTGGTGATAATGGCTTCAAATGAAATTTATTTTCAGTTTATGCACTGAAATTGAAATTTAAAGACACAAATTAGCCAAAAAGCTGACCAGTGCATGAAAAAAAATAAATAAATTAAACTCAACATTCAAATGATTCAACATGTACTGAGTATGAGTGTTTGAAATCTTCAGGGCTTCCCTGAGTTCGTGGACAAAAGCCCATATTAATAAGCTGTCATTCGTTACGTTTAGACGAGACTGCAGTGTTGTAGTACTCGAGACTCGGACTCGTCTCGGTCTCGAGACCATATTTTAATGGTCTTGGTCTTGTCATGGACTCGTGTTCTTTTGGACTCGGAATTGACTCGTACTCGAACATTTTTTTTTATAGGACTCGGACTTATTCCCGAGTCCACTCGAGTTCAATTCAAAATATTTTTCATGATTATTAATGTATGTTAATAAAACATTTCTTTAAATTGATTGACACGCCCAGTGATTGGTGATTTTCTAGTGCGCAACTGCGCATGACAAATTGTAATAAAATTACTTTTAACACCACCTACTATGTGGCGTTTTTACCCTAAACTGATCATATTTTTTAAACTCTAAGTAAATTCAGTAAAAAAAAAAGGATTTCTCTAAGTAAATAAAAGTAAATTAGGTAATCAACCCTCATTGGTCTCGGTCTCGACTCGGACTCGACCGTCTCTGGTCTCGGACTCGACTCTCTATGGACTCGGTCATGACTCGGACTCGACTCTCTCTGGTCTCTGTGTCGACTCGGACTCGAGTGAAGTGGTCTCGACTACAACACTGCGAGACTGTATTGGCTATTTTCTGGAGTATACTCACAGAGTTGGCCTGTTTGCGAGCCTGGTTGATGAGTTCTTTGATCTGCGAGATGTTTTTCTTCAGGTTGTCCTGGAGTTCCTGAATGGGCTTTAGTTTCTCCAGCAGCCTATCAGCCTCATTCTCCAGATCCTTCACTTTCGCACCTGCCGCGTGAACTACAGACACACACACACACACCGTCACGGACGGCAAAACATGAGAGCTTGACAGAATAAAATAAATATGGCATTAGAAACATGCTCGATGGTGAAGCCATGAGTGAAATGAAATGAAAGGCTCTGAAACAAGAGCGCAAGAAAGAATTCAGAAAGAAAAAGTTGACATTATATATATCTCTCGTTTGCAGCAAAGGAAGCGAAAGACATGGAGAGCTGTTATTTCAAAAGAGAAGAAGATGAGAGAATAAAACCACAGAGTTTTCATCTGTAATTAGCTAAAGCGCTCATTAGGATAACAAGCTTAGTGAAGCTTTCAAAGGCTGCGTTTAATCCTGTTGGGCTGAAACAAAGACGGGAGAAATGGAGCGATTGGGAAAACACTCTCTCTGTACATGCAGCGCTCTGGATGAAAGCACCATGCTGAAGCCTCGGGGAGCGGAGAGAGCTGGAAAAACCATTCGCACAGATGAAAGAAGAAAAATTGTGTATACATACTTATTGCTGTTGACGTTCAAAATCAAATGTGGGGGGAAAAATAGGAAATGAGCATTTAAGTGATCTTGTAACAAACATTTCAATTAAGAAATCAAATCTTCATGATCCATGCAGCTGTTGTCTCTATCAAGCAAGAACATTGCTGGAGGTGGGTGGATGTCGTACTGTTTTTCTCTGGGTCTTTGATGAGGTTGTTGGCTTTCTTGACGTCGTTCTCCAGGTCGCTGTAGTTCCTCTTCAAGCCCATCAGGTTGAGGTTCATGTCCTTCAGACGGTTGAGCACGTCTATGGCCGTGTCGTTGGCCTCCGCCGCCTTCACCTTGGTGGCCTGGATCTTCTCTGCCAGACCTACAGTCGTCAAAACAAGCAAGGATGTCAAATAAATGCGGAAAATATTAGCAGAACTCAAAAATCATTTTCACAAAGCTGAAGGGGAATCTCACACAGGTCATATTGTACTAAAAACATGATATTACAGGGATTGGGCAATGAAACTGAAACACTGGCCAATGTTGGAGGTTTCACATCTATATGCCTGGCGGCCAATCTTCAGAGTGAAGCACGGGTGGATCAGTGATGGTTTGAGCTCCAATATCATGACAATCCTGATTGTATTTGATGGACACGACACTGCCGAGGACTACCAAACCCTTCTGGAGGATCATGAGCATCAGGTGCACCAACACACACAGCAAGACTTGTGACAGAAGGGTTTGATGAAGATGAAAGTGACGTTGAACATGCACAGTTACCAGATCTGAATATTATTGAGGTGTTTTGGAGGAGCGAGTCCACCAGCATCATATAGTGACCTGGACACTGTTCAGGAAGAGGAACGGCTCATAATCCCTCTGGTCACTGTGAAGGACTTCTATCTGTCAATTGGTGCTGTATTTGGATGCAAAATGAGGCCCTCACCATTCTAACAAATTATTGTGTTGTAAAACCAGGTGTTTCAGTTTCATTGTATTTGCTAAATTTGCAGTGTCTCGTTCTCTTCTTAGGTCTTACTGCGTCACATACTGACGTTATAGCCCGGTGTCTGAAGCACAGTGTGGAAAATAACGCCAATCCTATTGGCTGATGGTTTCATGTAGATGAAATTAGGATGTTAAAGGGGGATAAACAACATCTGCAAAGTTACGACGTCCAAAGTTCAAAGCAAAGGGAGATATTTTCTTTTAAGGCATACTTCACTTTTTTTTGGAAACAGGCTCATTTTACAAATATCAGTAACCATTCAGTTTCTGGTCCCATTGACTTCCATAGTATGTACACAGTGACGTAATGACGACGTTCCCTGGGCGCTCTAGTCAGTGGAAAAACAAATTCCAACAACTCCGAACCAACTTTGAACCAGCACCAGTTCCGAACCAGTTCTTTTTTGGTGGAAAAGGGGTACTTGCGACCCTTCTCAGAACCTGTTTGTTTTTCCACTGACTAGAGAGCCCAGCCAATGTCTTACTCTCTCTCCCTCGCGCATATTAATCAAAATCAATTGAAACGATCGTAAAAGGTCGGAAGACCGCAGTTTCACATGAAGTATTTGGAGACCTTTTTCTTCTGAATTAGCGCGGTGTGTCAATTGTGCTAAAAAAACAAGTTGCATATCTTCTCTAAAAAGCGTTCTGCTCATTCAGCTGACAGAAACCACATTTCAATAAACGAAAAAACCTACCCAGTGATTAAATGTTTTCTGTTTCTGGCAGTTTAGGACATCGCGTCAATACTAGATTATTAAAATTTAGATACAATTTATACAAAACGAAACGTAATTTAGTGGTCAAAATCATGGCTAGACGTCCACTAATGACACGTCTGATACACAAACAACTCATTTTAACCTTTCACTTTAATGAATAGTTAAAACAACTGACCTGTCCAACTCACGAGACCTCTGAATCGGTGTATAAACACTTAATTAGATTAGTTAACTAAGCTACTATTAATAAACTGTTCTTCTACAGCATTGTTAATGTTAATTTCAATATTTAGAGAGTCTGTACAGGCCCACTATACGTGTAGTAGCAATTAAATAAGCGCATTTAGTTTCATTTTTGTTAAAATGTTATGTTTTTTTTAGGGCTGTGCAAAAGTTAATTGCGATTAATCGCATCCAAAATAAAAGTCTGTTTTACATAATATATTTGAGTGTGCTGTATATAATTATTTTATATATATAAATACACACACATGCATGTATATGTTTAAGAAAATGTGTTATTCCTATATAAAATATTTATATTTATATAATATAGATTATGTATTTATATATATATACAGAATTTAAGCGCAAATAATTCTTAAATATATACATGCATGCATAGCTATTTATATATACAAAATAATTATATACAGCACACACAAATATATTATGTAAAACAGACTTTTATTTTGGATGCGATTAATCGCAATTAACTTTTGCACAGCCCTAGTTTTTTTACATCTATGCTGGTTATGAAAATTGAACTTTTGAAGATGCGCAATATATCGGAGGATTTGATGGGTCAGACATGATTTCGACCACTAAATTACGTTTCGTTTTGTATAAATTGTATCTAAATTTTAATACATTTTTTCATCAATGAATTCCCTGGATATAATAAATAAGACGCAAATATAGCAGACATGGTAACGTATTCTCATCCTAATATAGCAGACATGGTAACGTATTCTCATCCTTTAGAACACTATATGACAAAACGGCGCTATACTACACACATGGCACCCGTTATCGTTAATATAACACGCGCTGTGATGGTTAGGTTTAGGTGTGGGGTAGGGTAGGGTAGTCTCATATTACGCTAACGGATTTATGACGACTTGGGTTCGCGTGTTATATTAACGATAAAGGGTGCCATGTGCGTAGTATAGCGCCGTTTTGTCATATAGCGTTCTATGTGACGCTAAAGGATGAGAACGGGCTGGACATGGAGGCGCGATTGCATTGCACTGAACTGGAGCACATCTCATCAATTTTGCTCATTTAAATAATAGTATGTGTGTGTTTGTGTGTGTGTGTGTAATTGCGCGACGTAAGGGTGACGTAGTAAAGAACAGTTCTCTGGTTCTAGTCCCGCAAAGAGTTGGTGCCGCTTTGGAACCAATTTTCCTGGCCGAGGACCGGCTCTTTGGCTGTCTAAACACAAAGAACTGTTTTGCGAGTAGGCACGGCTCTTAAATGGCGCATTTAGTTTCATTTTTGCTAAAATGTTATAATGTTATTTTTTTTTACATCTATGCTGATTATGAAAATTAAACAGCATGAGTAAGATGCGCAATATATCAGAGGATTTGATGGGTCAGACATGATTTCGACCACTAAATTACGTTTCGTTTTGTATAAATTGTATCTAAATTTTAATACATTTTTCATCAACCAATTCCCTGGATATAATACAAATGAAGCAAATAAAGCAGACAATATGATCATGATCAGGCGCGATTGCATTGCACTGAACTGGAGCACATCTCATCATAAATTTTGAGTGTGTGTGTACATATATATAATTGCGTGACGTAAGGGTGACGTGGTAAAGAACAGTTCTCTGGTTCTAGTCCCGCAAAGATTTGGTGCCTCTATGGAACCAATTTTCGGCTCTCAAAATGCTTTGGTGGAAAAGGGGCAACAGATAACCTCGTCCTGATAGCACCTGTGTCCAATGTGTGACATACACACAAGCACACACCTCTCTGTAACCATAGGAACAGACAGAAATCATCAAACCCTATGAAGGTGTAAGGTGCCAGATTCAATGTTTTCAGCAGTCAAGTTGGTGAGGACGACTCTGACACACACACACACACACACACACACACCACATCAAGAAAAATATGACAGTTGGAGAACTGTCTTAGATTTATGTCAACCCACACATACACACACATGAACAAACTCACACACACACACCATGAGGGATGGCGTTGAGTTTCTCCATTGTGTCGTTCAGGCCTTTCTGTAAGTCTTTGTTCTTATTGTTGGCTTTTTTCAGCCTGGACTGAAGAGCCCCCAGATTGTCTCCATTTTCTGAAAAAAAGAAGAAAAAGGTGGCATAAATGCTGCTGTGGAGAGAATCGGCAGGACAGGTTTAATCTTCTAGTGACGTTCACCTTTCACGTCATTCTGCAGTTCTTTGGCCTCGTCCCACAAGCGGTGGCTCTTCTGAACAGAGGCCTTGGCTTGATCTTTCAGAGATCCTTTGGGTCCCAAGGCCTACAGACACAACATTTATGAACATTTGTGTTTTTAAATTAATATTCTATTCTATTTCCAACATGTAACATAACATGTGATGCGATTAGTGTGTACTTGTCATGCAGAGAAATGGAAAGTGCCACTGAAAGCTCATTTTTTCTATTGTCGCATATTGTCGTTTTACACTCTAATCTGTAGCCATGTTTCCATCCACTTGTCAATCGAATTATCTGAAATTCGGTTAAAAAACTCATGCGGATAAAGCTGGTCAAAAGTGTGTTTCCATCCAACGGCTTTAAAGCGAATAAAAACCTGTACGTAATGACGTCACATGCTGTTTTGCGATCAAATTGGTATATCGAATTGATTTGAGACATTTTAAGGTGTTTCCATTTATTTTCGCACTGATTCGAACAACATTCAAGCAAACTTTTGCGAACAAAGTTTTGTTGGACAAAACGGATCGCGCCATCTACCAAAAATGATCAATATTTCACAAGTTGAAGGCTAATAATGCTTATGTGCCAGCTGATAGCGACATATGAATGGGATAATGTATGCGAGGCGGTTGTTGTATTCGCTATAACAACCGCCTCGCTATATATTATCCTGCTTATTACATATAAATCAACCAAATAAATAAATAAATCAATAATTTGACACAAAATATTGACTTAAAAACGAGTTTATTGATTTAAAAACGAGTATTGCTTCTGCTAAAGAAAATAGTCTGTTCCGTCTCTGAACTGCGTCCATGGCAACGGTGTGTTATACTAGAAATAACAGACCACATTATACATTACAATTCAACCAAGCCACGTAAAAACAAGCAAAACTAACCTAAGAAAACAATGACGCTATAAACATCCGCCATGTGTGCGCAAACAGACTGGCCGGAAATGAACTCGTCTTCTGACGTGTTGCAACCATAAAAGGGCATAAAACTTAATCGCAATTCATTATTTATTCGCCAAATAACGTTTCCATCAGCTTTTATCGCATTAGCCGTATATCGATCAAGAGAAAATCCGATGAGACCGAACGTATTTCATTTGAGTCGATTTTCATGAAATTTCATCGAATTTTACTGTTTCCACAAGGCTTTTTTCATTCGATATCACTTAATTCGGATAAAAACGTGTCGATGGAAACATGGCTTGTGAAGCGCCGTTGACCTTTTGGCCTGTTTCTGTGAGGAAGGGTGAACGACAGGAGAGAGGGATGATGATGATGGAAGAACAGGCGCAAAGCTTTGATCTCTGAAGCAGGACAAATGGAAATGAATTGGACAGCTTTAACGCAGCCAGTGAAACTCTTGATCCAAACCTGGTGATTTCTAGACACTACACACACAAAGCGTCGCTTATTCAACCAAACATGTATCCATGATGGATGAGGATTGGTGTATTCAGTGTCTGATGGATTGTTTATAGCAGTTTAACAAGATTATTTCTGTGTTTTTTAAGTCTAGCATCACCAGACACTCCCCCTGTTTGCTATTAGTTGGGATATAAACTGTTGTAATATGGAAAAGAGCAGCAGAAAGACTCTCCAAAAGTGGGAGTAAAAAACAACCGCATTTTAATTTGCTGCTGCTGCCCACGCAGAGCATCTCCCATCATCCTCTGGTGTAGAGACTCATGTTGAGTGTGTGTGTGTTTCCTCACCAGCTGTTGAGCCTCGACGCTGGTCTTCTTCGCCTCTTTGGCCACCATGTCGGCCTCGTCGATGTAGTTCTTGATGTTGGTGTACGCTTTGAAAGCAGCGGTGGCGTTGAAGGACAGGTTCTTCGCCTCGGCTAGAATACTACAGAAAACACAAACACAGGTTAGGATCGTTCATAGTGAACATGAGCGGTGATTAAAGATTAAAGGAGTAGTTCACTTTTTAAAACAACTTTTGCTGATAATTTACTCACCCCCATGTCATCCAAGATGTCCACGTCTTTCTTTCTTCAGTCGAAAAGAAATTAAGGAAATTAAGAACATTCCAGGATTTTCTCCATATAATGGACTTCAATGGGAACCAAACGGTTCAAGGTCCAAAAGACAGTTTCAGTGCAAACTGTTCAAAGGGCTTTAAACGACTCCAGACGATGAATAAGGGTCTTATCAAGCGAAACGATCGCTCATTTAATAAAGAAATAACAAAGAATAAGTTTTATAAGCTCAAATGCTCGCCTTGCTCTGTTCTGTGTGACTTGAATGAACCAAATGACTCAAAAAAAGATTTGTTCATTTTGATGAACGAGTTCGAACAGGAGGGTCACTAAAGTGTGTCACAGAACAGAGCAAGGCGAGCATTTGAGCTTATAAAACTTAAACTTTGTTATTTATTTATTAAATGAGCGATCGTTTCGCTTGATAAGACCCTTATTCATCATCTGGAATCGTTTAAAGTCCTTTGAAGCTGCACTGAAACTCTCATTTGGACCTTGAACCGTTTGGTTCCCATTGAAGTCCATTATATGGAGAAAATCCTGGACTGTTTTCCTCAAAAACCTTAATTTCTTTTCGACTGAAGAAAGAAAGATATGGACATCTTGGATGACATGGGGGTGAGTAAATTATCAGCAAAAGTTTTTTTTTAAAGTGAACTACTCCTTTAATGCTCTATTACGTTTGAAAATAACGTAGCACCTACAAAAACCTACACTAAACCTGACCGATAGTGTTAACAAGCGCAAACATCGTCTGAAGAGACTCGGACCCGAGCAACTTTACTACAGCGAAAACACACACAATTGACATATGAAAATGTCCAAATGTTTTAGTTCATAAATCATGCACTATGATAAAAGTGTGTTGAGCTCATAATGTACAGTAGCACGGTCAGAAATGAACTTCTCCATTAAGAGGAAATATGTGCCGCCTGGGGATTTTTATTTTTATTTTACCTTGCTATTATAATTTCATTACAATATTCATTATTTTCAGTTATAGCCCTTGATACTGTAACGACTATAACCGTTGATTAATAAAATCTTTGGTCACTTTGGTCAACTTCACAATTAGTTTTTTTAATTAAAACCAATTAATTCAGTTTAATTAAAACTTATTTTCTTGAGGTTTCTTACTATATAATTCATACTTTGCTAGGGTTGGGTATCGTTTGAATTTGAACGATTCTGATTCCGATTCCTTGTTTCGATTCCGGTTCCTAACGATTCTCGATTTCGATTCTTTTAAGAGGCAGGGTCAAAAAAGTTTAGCTAACCTTGCTAACCAACGGTCTTTCTGAAGAAAATACTCCTTCTGTCACAAATACTCCTTTTGTCACAAATTTTGCATTTTGCCGAGATTTCGTTAATTTTTAGAAAAGTGAAGCCACACTTTGGACCGCCGACGTAAGCTACTCATGTTCGACTCGCGCGGTTATGCCAACACTTCCGGTAGACGCTTCTTCGTTGGTGTTGTTCAGCGGTTTCTTCTTCCGCTCGGCGGACTGTGAATATCGAAACTAGGAATTGAAATTTTAACTTTTGAACGATTCCGGGAAAAACGAAGTTAGTCCCGGTTCCAATCGATACTCGATTCTCGATACCCAACCCTATACTTTGCACGTGGCGTCACAAGCACTGGCACGTTTGTTTTGCTATACTTGTGAGGACATTCCATAGACGTAATTGTTTTTATACTGTCCAAACTGCGTATTCTCTCCGCTTACACTAACCCACCCATCACACACCTGTCGAGTATGGCAGCGGACTCGTTGAGCTGGCCGGCGTGATCCTCCGCTCTCATCAGCAGATCCGGGACGGAGTCGTCCAGTCCGCGACCCAGCCGCGCCACCTTCAGGTCCAGCTTATCGTGCAGCGGCCCCAGCTCCTTCTGCATCTCCTCCAGCTCCTACACACACCAGCCAGTCACACACCACTCACGCTCGCTCGTGTGGCAGCTCTGTCGTGTGTTAGCATGATGACACTGACCTCTTTGCCCTGGTTGATGCTGTCGGACAGAGCGTTAGCTTCGTCCAGCATCTTCTCTCCTTCCGCCAAAATCCCCTCCATTTGCTTTTTCTTTTCCCCGGCCACGTCCCTCTTTCCCTGCACGTAACGAATAACGAAGCGCTTTAGACTTTCGACACGACGCGGCGCTTCATAAGTGTGAGCGTGTGTGTATCTGTGCACCTGCAGGCGGTCCAGGTTCAGCTGGTTGGTGTTAGCCAGACCCTCTGCCAGTTTGGTTTTGTTGTGCGCGTCCCTCAGCAGATCCTGAGCCTCCTCCAGTTTCTGCCTGTAATCGCCCATCTTATCACTGACCTCCTTCTTCAGGTCCTCTGTGGCCTGGTGCGGGTCTCCAAACAAACGCTTCACCCGAGCCAGAAGAGCCTCAGCGGCCCTGGAGAGATAGAGAACCGGCGCGCGTCTCATTCTCTGCGTACCTGTGACGCATGACTCAAGAAAACCCTTTAAAACACCAGACCGAAACACTTCGTGGGTACTTTTTATATAAAATTAAAATTAAATGACAGTAAAGACCAGTGTTGTAGTCGAGACCACCTCACTCGAGTCCGAGTCGACACCGAGACCAGAGAGAGTCGAGTCCGAGTCGAGACCGAGACCAGAGAGAGTCGAGTCCGAGTCGAGACTGAGACCATAGAGAGTCGAGTCCGAGTCGAGTCCGAGACCAGAGAGAGTCGAGTCCGAGTCAAGACCGAGACCATAGACGGTCGAGTCCGAGTCGAGACCGAGACCAGAGAGAGTCGAGTCCGAGTCAAGACCGAGACCATAGACGGTCGAGTCCGAGTCGAGACCGAGACCAGAGAGAGTCGAGTCCGAGTCGAGTCCGAGACCAGAGAGAGTCGAGTCCGAGTCAAGACCGAGACCATAGACGGTCGAGTCCGAGTCGAGACCGAGACCATAGAGAGTCGAGTCCGAGTCGAGTCCGAGACCAGAGACGGTCGAGTCCGAGTCAAGACCGAGACCATAGAGAGTCGAGTCCGAGTCGAGACCGAGACCATAGAGAGTCGAGTCCGAGTCGAGACCGAGACCATAGAGAGTCGAGTCCGAGTCGAGACCGAGACCATAGAGAGTCGAGTCCGAGTCGAGACCGAGTCCATAGAGAGTCGAGTCCGAGTCGAGACCAAGTCCATAGAGAGTCGAGTCCGAGTCGAGTCCGAGACCAGAGACGGTCGAGTCTGAGTCAAGACCGAGACCAGAGACGGTCGAGTCCGAGTCAAGACCGAGACCATAGAGAGTCGAGTCCGAGTCGAGACCGAGACCATAGAGAGTCGAGTCCGAGTCGAGACCGAGACCAGAGACGGTCGAGTCCGAGTCAAGACCGAGACCATAGAGAGTCGAGTCCGAGTCGAGACCGAGACCATAGAGAGTCGAGTCCGAGTCGAGACCGAGACCATAGAGAGTCGAGTCCGAGTCGAGACCGAGACCATAGAGAGTCGAGTCCGAGTCAAGACCGAGACCATAGAGAGTCGAGTCCGAGTCGAGACCGAGTCCATAGAGAGTCGAGTCCGAGTCGAGACCGAGTCCATAGAGAGTCGAGTCCGAGTCGAGTCCGAGACCAGAGACGGTCGAGTCTGAGTCAAGACCGAGACCATAGAGAGTCGAGTCCGAGTCGAGACCGAGACCATAGAGAGTCGAGTCCGAGTCGAGACCGAGACCATAGAGAGTCGAGTCCGAGTCAAGACCGAGACCATAGAGAGTCGAGTCCGAGTCGAGACCGAGTCCATAGAGAGTCGAGTCCGAGTCGAGACCGAGTCCATAGAGAGTCGAGTCCGAGTCGAGTCCGAGACCAGAGACGGTCGAGTCTGAGTCAAGACCGAGACCATAGAGAGTCGAGTCCGAGTCGAGACCGAGTCCATAGAGAGTCGAGTCCGAGTCGAGTCCGAGACCAGAGACGGTCGAGTCTGAGTCAAGACCGAGACCAGAGACGGTCGAGTCCGAGTCGAGACCGAGACCAGTGAGGGTTGATTACCTAATTTACTTTTATTTACTTAGAGAAATCCCTTTTTTATTTTACTGAATTTACTTAGAGTTTAAAAAACATGATCAGTTTAGGGTAAAAAGGCCACATAGTAGGTGGTGTTAGAAGTAATTTTATTACAATTTGTCATGCGCAGTTGTGCACTAGAAAATCACCAATCACTGGACGTGTCGATCAATTTAAAGAAATATTTTATTAACATTAATAATCATGAAAAATATTTTGAATTGAACTCGAGTGGACTCGGGAATAATTCCGAGTCCTAAAAAAAAAAATTTTCGAGTACGAGTCAATTCCGAGTCCAAATGCACACGAGTCCATGACAAGACCAAGACAATTAAAATATGGTCTCGAGATGGTCTATGGTATCCGAGTCTCGAGTACTACAACACTGGTAAAGACATTTATAATGTTTTCTTGAACTTTCCTTGAAGAACCCTGAAAAAAATCACGCTTTCCACACAAATATGAAGCTGTTTTCAGCGAGAGAAGTCTGGAGTAATGATCCAGAAAATTCAGCACTCTACAATATACATTCACATACTGTACGTAGAAAACAGCTGTTTTAACCGTCTGGGATTGTTCGGCCCAAATGGACCCGAAAAATTAAAATAATTTTTTTTTTTTAATCACAGCTTCCTTGGAATGGTCCGAAATTTGGTGACTTTGTTAGTATTTGGTATTTGAACACCCAAAATAATTGGGGACAGGATGTGAATAGTCTAAGTGGTTGTAAAAAAAAAATAGTCACACTTGGGGTGTTCGGGTCCAAATGGACCCGCATGGTAAATGAATGGGAAATTGGCAAAAATGTGAAAATAGTGCGTTTTTTTGTGCGTACAATCTACAAATCAGCCGCTATCTTGAAAAAAGCACACAACAGTGAAGGGGTGAATCTATAAAACATCAAGAGTGCAAAACGTCTCGGGTTATGACTATAACCCTTGTTCCCTGAGAAGGGAACGAGACACTGCGTCGATAAAATCGACTCTTTGGGGACGCTCCCTAAGCGTGCGCCTCTGAAGTATGAATGAAACTAATCCAATCCTGATTGGTGTTGCGTCGTGACGTAACATGTGACGGCATACCCGGAAGTATAAAAGTGACGCTGTCACAACACACACTAGCCTCGCGATGAAGCAAGACGCTCAAGGGTCTGAAAAGGGGGCGTGGCAACACGACGCAGTGTCTCGTTCCCTTCTCAGGGAACAAGGGTTATAGTCATAACCCGAGACGTTCCCTATCGAGGGAACTCAACACTGCGTCGATAAAATCGACTCTTTGGGAACGAGTACCCACTAGGCCACGCACCGAACAGACCCGCCCCAGAGTGAAACTGATTAGGCACTCAGCAAGGGCCGAGTACGTGTGCACCGGGCGTACTGGGAAGGCTGAGACTGTAAAACCTGATGAAAGTATGCGGGGTAGCCCAGCCGGCTGCCTCACAAATCTCCTGCAGAGGTACTCCCGACAGAAGGGCCCTAGAGGAAGCCATGCCTCTAGTCGAGTGAGCCCTTAAGGCCAAAGGTGAAGGAACCCCACGCACCTTGTAAGCCTCAGTAATAGCCTGGACAATCCAGTTACTTATAGTTTGTTTGGTCGCCGGGAGCCCCCTCTTAGGTGACCCAAAGCATACTAACAACTGGTCAGATCTTCTCCAAGAAGCAGACTTTTCCAAGTATACACTCAAAGCTCTGACGGGGCAGAGCAAGTGAAGCCTCTCTTCTCCCGCCGACACATGAGGTGGAGGATGGAATGCCTGAAGGACTACAGAGCGAGCCGTACTCGAAGGAACTTTAGGCACGTAGCCCGGACTCGGGTGCAAAAAGGCCTTTACTTTGCCAGGGGCAAACTCCAAGCAAGCTGGCGTTACCGCCAGGGCCTGGAGATCTCCCACCCTCTTAAGAGAGGTAATCGCTAAGAGAAAGACCATTTTCAACGTTAAGTCCTTAGGCGAAGCCGACTCTAAAGGTTCGAAGGGAGCGAGGGACAACCCTTCCAGAACTATTGCCAGATCCCAGGCAGGCACCCTGGACCTGATCGCCGGCCTCATCCTCCAAGCACCACGGAGAAACCTAATGACCAACTGGTGCCTCCCCAGAGGTCCACCATCTACTGGCGCGTGGAAAGCCGAAACGGCAGCCACGTACACCTTAAGAGTGGACGGGGAGAGACCCGCAGAGAAACGATCCTGAAGGAATTCCAGAACTGAAGCCACTGGGCAGTTTACTGGATCCAACCTTCGTTCTCCACACCAAGTGTGAAACACCTTCCACTTGAGGCCATATAATCTCCTGGTAGATGGGGCCCTAGAGCTAAGTATGGTTTCAACCACCTCAGCTGATAAGCCAGCATTTAGGTACTGAACCCCCTCAGAGGCCAGACCCACAGCTTCCACAACTCTGGGCGAGGGTGGAAGATTGTGCCCTCCGCCTGAGACAATAGATCCCTCCTCAGAGGAATCGGCCATGGCGGAGCTATGAGGAGTGATATTATATCCGAGAACCATACTCGTGTCGGCCATCTCGGGGCAACCAGAAGTAGACTGATGCCCTCTTGACGGACCCTCTCCAGGACCCTGGGAGCAGAGCGATCGGGGGGAAAGCATACAGGCGAAGCCTCGGCCAAGCCTGTACCATGGCATCCAACCCCAGTGGGGCTGGATGTGAGAGGGAGAACCAAAGTGGACAGTGGGACGTCTCTCGAGACGCAAACAGATCCACTTCCATCGGTCCGAACCTCTCCCATATCGACTTCACCACATCCGGATGAAGTCTCCATTCCCCGGGCCTCAGCCCCTGCCTCGACAGGATGTCTGCTCCCCGATTCTGAACCCCTGGGATATACATTGCCCTTATTGACAATATCTTTCCCTGGGACCAAAGGATAATCTGATGCGCCAGTTTGCACAGAGGGCGCGATCTGAGTCCCCCCTGTCGGTTCAGATAGGCCACCACTGACGTATTGTCTGTCCGTATAAGGACGTGGCGACCCTCGATGTCTGGGAGGAAGCTCCTCAAAGCCTTGAATACCGCCATCATCTCCAGGCAATTTATATGCCAAGTGCGATGATGGTCCTGCCACAGACCCCTGGTAAAGCGGCCGTCCATGACCGCGCCCCAGCCCGTAAGGGAGGCGTCTGTCGAAACGGTTTCCCGGCGACATGACACCCCCAACACTGGCCCTTGGATAGGAACCAAGGCTTCTTCCATATTTGCAGAGACTGAAGGCACTTGCGCGTTACTCTGATCATACGGAACGGATTTCCTTTGGGTGAGAACCCCTTGGTCTTCAACCACCACTGGAGGGGCCTCATGTGAAGGAGGCCCAGAGGAATAATGTTGGATGCCGCTGCCATGAGGCCCAGCATCCTTTGAAAGTGTTTCACAGTGACGGCC